TACAGAGCCCCACAGCCAGACATCATGCAGAGAGTGAGAGACCTTGGAACACACGGCTCTAAATGGGGTGTCTCCATCAAATCCCTCTCCTCAGAGCTAGGGAACCCCAAGGAAGGGAAGCGGAAAGTGTAAGAGGCAGAGGGGCTGGAGGACACCAAGACACCAAGGCCCTCCACATTGACATGAGCAAAGCTCGTCTGACCTCACAGAGACTGAAGCAGCCTGCGCAGGGCCTGCACAGGTCCGCCCAGGTGGTCCGCACCAGGTCCTCTGCGTGTATGTATCGTGGCTTTCAGTTTAGTGTTTTTATGGATTCCGGATTGTGCAAATGAGTGGGTCTCTGGTTCCTGTGCCTTCTCTTGGGCTCTTTTCTTCTATTTGTCTTGTCCAACTCTAATGTGGTAGTTTTGTAGTATTATACTTTATTTTGTTATATTTAATATTATCCCTTAGAAGTGTGTTCTTTTCTAATGAGAGACAGAAAAGGGGTGGATCTGGATGGGAGGAGAGGAAGAATAAAGGGAAGGGAAACTGTAATCAGGGCATATTGTATGGAAAAAGAAAATATAAGGAAAGAAAAAAATGTATGATCTTCCTTCGTGTACCACTTCGATTCTTTCTTGTTGCATGTCTTTTTAAATTTTTAGTGGTTACCTTGAGAATTACATGCATCGTCATCTTTATAAGTGTTTGCGTGTGGGTGTATGCCCAAGCACAGGTGCCCAGGGAGAAGTTATGGGTGGCTGTGACTAGTTTGTCCTGTTTTTTTGTAGGTTTTTTGTTTTTTTTTTTAACTTTGCAATAAAATACCCTGGCAAGAGCAGCTTAAGGGAGAAAGGGCACATTCCAGCATGCAGTTCCAGGTTACAGTCCGTCACGGCAGGATGCACAGTGGGTTTTAAGGAGACTGGCCACATCTCCTCACCTGAGTCAGGAAACAGAGAACAATGACAAGCAGCAGGGGTCCAGATGCTTCTCCATCCGTTTCCAGTCCAGATCCACAGGGGAATGGTCCTGGTCACTCTTCGCTGGGACTTTCTGCATTGGTTAACTGAGAATAACCCGCCACGGGTGAACACGAGGGCTTAGTCTCCCACATGATTCTAGATTTCTTCCAACTAACACTTAATAGTAATCATAGCAGAGTTGAAGGCAAAAAAAAAAAAGTGAGAGGCTACATTCCACCTGGAAAGGAACCAGGAAGGTCAGAGTGACTGTGAGAGCTAAAGAACATTGTGTCCTGACCAAGAAGGAAGACGGGACTATTGTCAGCATACACATCTAACTGCAGGGCTGTGGAACTGCCGGCACATACTACTCTGTAACTGGAGAGAGAGAAAGACAGATTCTCTGTGGTAGAGACGTTCCCATCACATTGCTAGTAACAGCTGGATGCTACCGATTGCTAATTTCCATAGTCTGACTGTGGTACTGAATAAATGCAAGAAAAGGAAGGAAGGAAGAGAGGGAGGGAGGGGATGAGGAAATGAGTAGTATAACCATGGGAGCCGGCACACACACAGAAAACTGGTGTTCATGAGCGCATGCCGAAGATTCTTAAGAGGCCTGTAGTTGAGTAACTCAGTAACTTTAAATGGTGGAAGGACTGTGGAGCTGAGGTACAGAGCTAAATAACCACCATCTCGTTTCCTTTGGTGCTCAAAGGAGCTGGGTTATTCTGACAGTAGAGGGGAGAAACAATGTTACACTCGTTGAAAGGACAGCCACGGTCCCCAGAGTTTTTCTCTTTAGAGAACTTTTTTATTTTTATCCTTTAGAACCCTCCCAGGATATATACAGATTTATTCCCTGTTTTTTTTTTTTTTATAGTTAAGATTATCTTTAAGATATTTAAACTGTCTCATTAGGATTTGAGATGTGTTATTACTGTAGTTGTTAATACCTCCTGTGTGACTGGGATTCGGCATTTCAGTAGTGAGACTAAAATTTGTGTGTGTGTGCTTGCTTCCGATTTCATATTTATATAGTGTATTGCAGCAACAGTGTGAGAAGTAGCAGTTACCAGAAATTAAATTTTAAAACTGCTTCTAAATCCAGATGCTTTCGTTGCTCTCTAAAGGTGTCAAAACTTTTTACTTCTTCAGTTCAAAATAGAAATGAAGTACCTCTCCTAGAAAGAACTGTTTGTGGCAATTAATGAATTTTAAAAATATGTGTATGTGGGGCTGTAGAAATGCCTCAGCAGTTAAGAGTACTGGCTGTCCTTCGAGAGGACCTGGGTTCAATTCCCAGCACCCACAAGATGGCTCACAGCGTCCTTAACTTCAGTCCCAGGAAAGCCAGTGCTCTTCTAGCCTTGCGCACATGCATACATGCAGGCAAAGCACCCATACATGAAAAATAAAGGGAAAAATTGTAGTGCGTGTATATAGCACATTTGAAGTGCTTGCGTGGACCCCATGGACCCCATGGACCCCGGGGTGTTAGAGGCAGCCTCTGCGGGTTTGCCTGTGTGTCACGGACCCGGGGTGTTACAGAGGCAGCCCCTGCGGGTTTGCCTGTGTGTCACGGACCCGGGGTGTTACAGAGGCAGCCCCTGCGGGTTTGCCTGTGTGTCACGGACCCGGGGTGTTAGAGGCAGCCCCTGCGGGTTTGCCTGTGTGTCACGGACCCGGGGTGTTACAGAGGCAGCCCCTGCGGGTTTGCCTGTGTGTCACGGCTACTCCCTTTCTTTCAGCTCAGTCTGAAATTGAAGCGTCGGTGTCGGCCAGGAACATCAGAAGGCTGCTAAGTTTCCAGCGCTATCTCAGATCTTCGCGCTTTTTCCGGGGCGCCACAGTTCCTAGTTCTCTAAACATTCTAGATGACGATTATAATGGACAAGCCAAGGTTTGTACAACTTCTTCCAAAAGATTTGAGTTGCTTGTTAAGTTACTGGAACCACCTCCCCAAAATACTGATTGAGGTACCTTTTTCCTGTCTGAATTGAGCCAACTTTTCAGATTGGGGGCTGATTGTTTGGAAGCAGGTCTAACAGAACAAGGAAAACTTCTGAGAAAAGTAGTGAACGCGTTTGCATTTATTATACCATTAAGTAATGAGTGGGTCAACAGAACAGTCAACTGTAGGCTGGCAGGATTGACGCTGGGAAGACGAGGAGAGGGCCCAATCTGATGCCTCTGTGCTGGAGATACGGAAGCTGGGGGCTGCGCAGCCTAAGAGGCAGAGTTCACCCAGGGGCTCCAGACAAAAGTCCGGGGAGATGCTTCCATCGGCTACATCTTAACTAAAGCCATTGTTTTTAACAGTTATTTCTGTCACTCTTACAAACTTCACAGGAAATTTCTTAGTAGGATTGAAGTGAAATGGGTTTTTCTTTAATCAGGTGGGATTTTATATAATCTTGAATTTTAATTTATTGGAAATTATTTTTTACTTAAGTTTTATAGGCCAGGTTTTCTAAGGTTATGTAGATTGGCCTTGAGGTATCTTCTTTGAAGTTATGTTAAAGTTTAAAGAAAAGAACGTTTTCCTGCTTGAGAAGTCAGTGGGAACTGTTGACCCTCTAAAATTTAAACTGTGTGTGAACTCTGCTGTTTCGGTTAGCATGTTAACCTGTGTGGTGGTGTGATTTAAGTCTCCACAAGTGTCACACTAATGTTGCTTGTGGTGGTTTATTCATCGTTGTATGTACAGTGAACTTTGGGATACAAAATAAAGTATTTACTTTAAAAGCCCACGAAATATGGACTTAGGTAGATCTGCTTACCTAAGTACGTAGTATCCCAAAAGTTAATTGGCCGGTTCTATTGGTAATTTTGAATGATATTTAAAGATCATCAATAAATACCCCCAGTTCCAGGGTCTTTTTAAAAAGCTGGTGAGCAAGCCAAGTGTGGTCATGCACGCCTTTAATCCTAGCGCTCTGAAGCAGAGGGAGACAGATCTGAGTTTGAGGTCAGCCTGGTCTACGTACTGAGTTCTAGGACAGCCAGGGTTGTATAGTGAGACCTTGTCTCAAAAGAACAAAACAAAACAAAAAAACTGTGGATGGCAGATAATTGAATTGGGTTCAGTGTGGGGACCCAAGTCCAGAAGTGACTCCTCAGTCACCATCGCAGCTCTCCGCCCTGGCCGAGCCAGTTTTTGCCTGTTTCCCAGGCGTAAGTGAGGACTGGCGACAGTTATCGGACATACTCGGCAGTTAGCGAGTACCCAGTGGCCTTTATAACTCTTGGGCGGATTTTTAAAATCTGATTTCAGAATATGCAGCATATGGGTTACATGCTGGTAAATTATTTCCAAATTCTCTAAGTATGTAGATCATAGGAACAGGTTGAAAGACTGACCTGACCTATACGTAATTAATTGAAAAACAAAATAATTTGTTCTCAAATGGAGTTTATTTCTGTAGACAGTTTTTGAGCCAGTTGGAAATGTCTTAACTAAAAGGAGAATGAAAGCCAAGTGTGGTGGCACACACCTGTGACCCCAGCACTCAGGAGGCTGAAGCAGGAGAATTGCCATGAGTTGTAGACTAGTCTGGGCTGCATAAGTGGGACCCTGCCTCAAAACTAGAACATAGTTTTTCCGGGGTGACAACCACTACAAGAACATGCCTCATGCAAAGGATCTCCCCATCCCTCTCCACAAGACAAGAAGGGGAAACAGAAGAAAGGTCGTGTGGTGCAGAGCCCCAGTTCTCACTGTAGGGATGTGCAATGCCCAGGATGCTGTGAATCTCCGCGGCCTTCAGCCCTGCAAACAGTGGTCCTGTGTGGTGGCCTCCCCTACGGCAGAAAAGCAAGGCCAAAAGCACCCGATGTAAGATGAGTGGGAGCCATCCCAGTAAACACGTTTGGGATTGAAAAATACAAAACAAAACTAGAAAACAAAATTAACAAAGGCCAATTACCCTTGGTGTTTCTCCAAGTAAATAGGCCACTTTTCATTTCCATCTAACTTTGTTATGGACTATCTGCAGAGAGTGGGTGTTACTGAGATTAAATTACAGGAGAAATGTTTGGTTCTCATTTCAGTGTATGCTGGACAGAGTTGGAAACTGGAATTTTGATATCTTTCTGTTTGATAGACTAACAAATGGTAAGTGAAGCATTGGACTTACTCGAGTTACTGTGGTCGCTAGTGCCTCTGGAGAGGGCCTCAGCGTGGTGTGTCCTTGTTTTTACTCACTTAGGCTATGAACCTAGTGACAGCATTTTAAAAAGCCAACAGAAATCATTTCATAATTTTTTGCTTTTATTATTAGTCTTGATAGTAATCAAAAGACATCTCAATCATGACTTGGCCAATTGGCAGTGTTTTGCTGCCATTTTTAATAACTCAGACTGAATCTCATAGCAGTCTTGATTTTCCCTTTAAAGTTCTTCAGCGTGTGACTATTCACAGTACCGTTTTCAGACACAGTATTCCCATGTAGGGTTAGCCCAGAGGCGTGGTGGACCTCTTGGTCCTTTCTTGAGTGTGCTGGTCCTCAGGCTTTTTTCCCTTCTTCTGCAGAGGCTCAGCATGTTACCCGAAGCCTCCCTCTGCCCCTGCCGCCCCATGCTGGAGAAGGGCCTGTAGCTCAGGTGGGGCACTCAGACTCTGTGGAGAGTAAGAGTGGTTTGGAGAAATTTCTCACAGAGTCACAGGGGACTCTGTCCCCTGCCTCTAGCTTAGCCCAGTCTTATGTGATGTTGGCATTGCCTTTTCTTTTTACTCTTTGGATCCAAAAGTGGATTCTGTTTAGAAACCTTTTTTATTTAGAACAAAATCTTTGCCAGAATTCTTGGTGACACTAGCCATCTTTGCCCCTTTTGTCTAAGTAGGCTTTTAATAAAGCTACACAGAGAAGTCAGTTTTTCTGTTGGCAAGGGTGGACTAAAGTATGTGTTCCCTTGCCTTTTCTTTTCTTCTAAGAATGTGTTGATTTATTTATGGCAGTGTGTCTGCACATGCCAGAGCGCACTTGTGGAAATCGGAGGACGACTTGCTGAAGTGGGTTCTCTCTCCTGTGGGTTCCTGGGTTCCGACTCAGTTTGTCAGGCTCACATCTGCAAGCACCTTTCCCCACTGATCCATCTCACTGGCCCCGCTGCAGTTCATTGAGTGTCCCTGTTATTGCCTCTGAGCAGTAGGAGCAGAGGAAAGGCCGCTCTGCATCCCCTGCTTGTCTCTGCCCTGTGGCTAGGAAGCAGGTAAGACTGATGGGCAGAGTGGTGAAGACCGTGAGGTTTGCTCTGCCAGTCAGGTGCCCTGGCATCCCTGCCTGTCTGTCAGTCTCCATTTCTCTCCACCTCTCTGGAGCCCTGGGGTGGGTAGGTGTCCTGTTGCTCTCTCCCTGACACCTAGCTGGCTGCCCGACTGGAAAGGCAGGTGACCTTCCTCTGGGCCTGGTGGTTTTTCCTTTCTCTTTCTTTCTTTTCTTTTCTTTTAAATGTCTGTTTTGGATTCCTAAACTATATCCCAGGGAATTTTTTAAAGGTTTATTTATTTGTTTATGTATGTATGTATGTATGTATGTATGTATGTATGTATGTGTGTATGTACACAGTGTTCTGCCAGCATGTGTCCCTTTCAGGCCAGAAGAGGGCACCAGATCTCATTACAGATCTCATATGGTTGCTGGGAATTGAACTCAGGACCTCTAGAAGAGCAGTCAGTGCTCTTAACCCCTGAGCCATCTCTCCAGCCCTCTTTCTTTCCTTTTTTAATGCAGATGGGGAAATATGAGGTGGCCCACCTCCTTCAAGATTTGGGAAATTCTTCCTTCCTAACTCAACACAAACATGACTTCAGTTATCACAGATAGGTACAGATGGAGCAGTACCAGCCACAGCACTTTTAAAGGCTAGCCTTATAAACTGATAGCTCATAGCCTGTTTTTCAGCTACTGGGATGCCTGTCATTCATTGACATAGTTGGTGGTTCTTTTCTAAATTTAATTTTAAAAAGTATACAACCTGCTCATCAGAGGCTTAGAGTGAAAGCCAGTGAGCTCAACCACTGTTCTGTGAACCAAGTTCTGTCAGTCCCCATTATTAACCCCCTTTCCTTAGACCACCCCACTTGAACTGGGTTTTTGGAGAATGTGGCTGAATGACTTGGCCCAAGTGAAAACCACCTATTGTTGGCCGCTCTCCTTTGCTTTTGTAGGAAGCTAGCAACAGCCCCTTGGAAACCAGAGAGAGAATCTACTTGAAGAAATGTAATTGAACAAATGGGCAGAAAAAATTGTTCTTCAGCTTGCATTATATAGTTGTGTAGCATGAATCTTAAAGGGTCTTATTAATAAAATCAAACCCAGAGCCAGGTATTGGGCTAAAGCTGGAAGATCAAAGAAGCAGAACAAGCCACAGCTACCTCACCTCGCCAGTTCCTCAGCTGATCCTGTTTCCTCAGGCTGGAAGCCTCTGAGTCCTCATCCAAATGGATCTCAGCTGAACTGTGCTGCTCAAAAGCCTAAAAGCTTAACCAGCCTAGTTCCTGGTCCTCATGCCTTATATACCTTTCGGCTTTCTGCCCTCACTTCCTGGGATTAAAGGCGTGAGTCACCATGCCTGGCTGTTTCCAATGTGGCTTTAAACTCAGAGATCCATATGGATCTCTGCCTCCCAAGTGATAGGATTAAAGGGTGTGTGTGTCACCATTTTCTGGCCTCTATATCTAGTGGCTGTTCTGTTCTCTGACCCCAGATAAGTTTATTAGAGTGCACAATATTTTGAGGAACACAATGCCACCACATAGTTGCAATGGTTTCCTTTCAGAACTAAAATTCTCTGTGATTTGTGTTTCACCATATCCAAGGTCACAGTTTCCCCTCCTTGCTTATGTGATTGAATGGTGGTTTGTATTTCTTACTCTGGTGCTCTCTCAGTGGTAGGGGAGAGGAGAGGAAAGGAGCGGGCAGAGCAGAGAGTGGCTTGCCCAGGACAGGTTGCATCCATCTCCTATATCCACTCTCAGAGGGGGAGAGTGCAGTTACTGTCCGACTCTCCTCTTACAGGGATGCACATCAGGTGATGAGCCATAGCAAGGCCCTGCTGTTGCTCCTGAGAGCCTCTGGTTTGTGGGGGGAGAGTGGCCAGCTTGTGTTTCTGCTCAAGCTCTCAGGGAGAGTCAATTTCTAAACACTAGGGGGTCACCACACCTTAGCTGGCCTATATTTTCATTGTGGCAGCTTTACCTCTAAATAGGGTTTCCTTCCTTCCTCCCTCCCTCCCTCCCTCCCTCTCTCCCTCCCTCCCTCCCTCCCTCCCCCTCCCTTCCTTCCTTCCCCTGGAAACTCACTATGTAGTCCAGGCTAGCCTCAAACTCACAGAGCTTTTCCTCCCCTCCCAGGTGCTGGGGACTAAAGATCTGTGCCACCATGCCTGGTTCATTGGCATTCAATTTCTTACAGATATTTTTTTCTCTCCATATGGAGATGATATGCCAGGTCATCTTTAAAAAGAACCTTGGGGCTGGCAAGATGATTTTGCAACTAGCCAACACACTTGACTTTGTTGTTCTGGACCCACGTGGTAGAAAGCAAGAATGACTTCTACAAGTTGCCCTTCAACTTCCACGCATCTACCATGGCGCACATGCGTGTGTGCGTGCGTGCGTGCGTGCGTGCGTGCGTGCGTGCGTGCGTATGTGTGTGTGTAAAAGAATCCTTATGGACCAGCAAGATGATTCAGTAGCTGAAGACTCTTGCTGCAAAAGCCTGGTGACCCTAAATTCAATTCCCAATAAAGGTGGGAGAACTGATTTGCCAAAGTTCTCTCTCTCTCTCTCTCTCTCTCTCTCTCTCTCTCTCTCTCTCTCTCTCTCTTTCTCTCACTCACTCACTCACTCACTCACACACACACACACACACACACACACACACACACACACAGAGTGTTATATTAAAAAACCTTCTTGTGAACTGCCCCTGTGTGCCACAGCCCCCATGGTACTCCAGATGTGTTGAAGTGTTTACCTGTACTCATCTGTAGGTTCTGTTGACAGTGGCTTAATGAGTTGTTGGGTAATGCTTTGTTAACCTCCTAAATATTGTAAATTCTTAGTGTGAGATTTGTTATACCTTTAACATATTTTTCAAAAGATGCTAGCATCACATATATGTTACTGTTATTCATGATGCAGTAACTTATGAGAGTAAATCCCTTCAAAACAATTTTAACTGTTAATATAGCATATTTGTCCTGTAAATGGAGTCTACAGAATCCTGAGACATATAACAGAGTATGGGGACCTGGAGAGTTTTGTCAGGGAAGGGAACAGACAAGCATGTCAAGATGGGGATTCACGTGAAGATGAGCACTGGCGGTGCTTGTGTGGGGAATGGAGAGCCACAGGGATGTGCAGGTGTCTGGATGTTTTTGCTCGTTTGGACATCACAGGAAAGAGAGAAGGGAAAACATGGATTGATGAGGTCAGATGTATCCAGTGGATCAGGATCTGTCTTTGAGGAGAGACGGATGAATTAGTGTTTAAGGAAAGGGAAACTAAAGGCTTGGGGAAAATGAGGGAAAAGATGGGAAATCAGCATGTTAAAGTTTTAAGAAGAATGGCAAAGTCTTAGAAATAGGTGCTTTACAAAGTGACAGAGGGATTTCCCTAACAAAACAGTGAGATCGCCCAGCAGTGGTGGCCATAGCTTCATGGTGGTAGGTTTTGTCATACTGCCCTCCCCCCACATCCCCCCCCCCCCCCCCCCCCGCCAGCTCTCAGATTTTCTGCTCAAGTAAGGAAAAGGCGAGAGGTTTAGCTCAAAGCTTCTATTTTGGGAACCTTGAGGAGGTGACTGTCCCCTCCTAGTTGTGTTCCAGTAAAAATAAACACAGTTTCCACGTTGGAAGGTTGTGGCCAAATTTGCTGTGAGTCCACTCATTTCTATGACGTGCTTATAAAGTTGGATTGGCTAGTTCACTATAGGTCAGTTTTCCCATTCTACTGTTGAGTATTATTTGGTAGCTTAAAAAGTTAACCTGAAAATCCTTAAAAGTTTTATCTTTCAGTTCTTTGTGGAAAACTGAAACTTTTTTTTCTTAAAGTATATAGCTATCAGAGTAAGGAGCTGCATGCAGACTTTAGTAGAACAGAGTGGGCGTGGGTACTGTTTCCGGGGTCATGGTCGGACTCTGTCTAGAGACAGTAGCCTTCTGGCCTTGCATGTCTTACTAACGTGGCCTCTCCTCTTTCTTTTCTAGGAAATAGTCTAGTAAGTTTAACCTTTCATTTATTTAGTCTTCATGGATTGATTGAGTACTTCCATTTAGATATGGTGAAACTTCGTCGATTTTTAGGTAAGTGATTCTAACCCATTTAACAATAAGAGTGTACGAGAATCTGTGTGGTTCTCAGTCAGTCATAACAAACTGTTCAGGATCATACAAGCCTGTCGCTGCACTCCATATAGCAACATCTGGGTCAGTGACAGGCAGCATGTGTGACAGGCCATGGATCAGTTGGCCTTGCAGCCACATTCTTTTTTGATGCCCTCTGCTGTGACATGGTATTGAAATGCCTGGTGACTGACTGAATTAAGATGACTCTCTTAGAATGTGGACATCTGAGTTGATAGCCACATGGAAAATGTATATGGGTCACTCATAATTACCACTTTCAGTACTTGGATGTCCCTCTTATACAGTAAAAATTTAGTCTTTTTTTTTTTAATTCAGTTATGATTCAAGAAGATTACCACAGTCAAAATCCTTACCACAATGCGGTCCATGCTGCAGACGTTACTCAGGCCATGCACTGTTACCTAAAGGAACCTAAGGTAAGCGGTGGGAACCAACTTCAGGTGACAGTCACAAGACAATTTCTTTGGACATATGTTTCCATAAGTTAGTGTGGTTCAGCGCAAGTTCAGAAGCTACTTCTGTAAGAGTGAGATCAAACTTGACTGACTTTCCAGATGTGGCTGTAAGTGGAAGAACTAGAGAACTGTGCCCAGACATCTGAGAACCCTGGGCTCTGTGAGAGCGTTTGGCATGTGATTGAGTTCCCATGGGCTCCGTTCAGTAGAGATGGAGTTTTGTTTTCAGGTGTCCCCATGTGAGACTGTTGGGCGTGCTGACGCAGAGCCTGGGGCCGTGGGGCGTAGGCCTGAAAAAGCATTCTTCCACCTGTTCTGGAGATGCTCAGGCCCACTTGATAACAGTGCTTAAGTACTGTTCTTCTGGTCCCTGGCAGTTCATATAAGAGCCTGACTGTAAGGCAGGAGTGGTGGCTAACACCTGTAAATCCCAGCTCTGGAAAAGCCCAGATAGCAGGATTGCCAGGAGTTTTAAGGCAGACTGAACTTTGTGGCAGCTTCCTCTCACCATAGCCTGTCAGGAGCTGGTGACTGCTGAGCAGCTTTCCTTAGCAGTGGACATTTAGTGATGTCCTAAGTAATGTGCTGGCTGCTTATGACAGACATGTCAGCGACATAGAAATCTTGACCCGAAAAGAAAAAAGAAAGAAAGAAGGAGTTTTGGCCTGCAGTATCAGTTGTGGGTCATGTTATTACCTAACGTAGAAAATGTCAGCCTACTGGGGCAGGATACTGACATCTTACATAAAAATGATGATGAACCTTGTAGTGGCCATTACAGAGGAAAATACACATACTGCCAGCAAACAGCCAAACACAGAATTTCACTGAGGAGTGTCACCTCTTAGTAGTTCTCTGTTTTATTGAAAAGGGCCCTGAAGATAGTTTTATAGATAGATATAGTGAATCTGACTTTCAGATACTTTAAAAGAGTTGTAGTTTCTTATTCACAAAACTCAGATATTACTAGAATCCATAGCCATTTAGTAACAACATTTGTCTTCATAAAAATCCCTTCTAGACAGGTGGGGTGGTTCATGCTTGTAAGTACTTGGGAGGCTGAATCCAAAGGATGGAAGGTTCAAGGGTTGCATATGTACACTCTAAATATGTGATAAGGGCTGGAGTCATAGTGAGCCTCTGCTGTTAACTTGACACATACCTAGAATCACCTGGGATGAGGGAACCTCAACTGAAGATTGTCCAACTCAGACTGGCCTGTGGCCATGTCTGTGAAGTATTTTCCTAATTGTTAATTGGTATAAGAAGATCCAGCCCAATGATAGGTGGTGCCATCCCTAGGCAAGTGGGCCTGGGCTGTATGAGAAGTGTACCTGAGCAGAGCAGTAAGCAGCATCCCTCCGTGGTTTCTGCTTCAAGCTCCCACCCTGAGTTCCTGCTTCGGCTTCCACTGATGGTGAATGTAGCCTGGAGAGTAAGAAGAAATGAACTTTCCTCTGCACACTGCATGGGTTAGTGTTTTAGCACAGTAATGGAGATGACGACTAGGGCAGCTGGGGGGATAGTTCACTGGGTTAAAGAGCTTGCCACACAAACCCAAGGACCTGGGTTTGCACCCCTAGAACCTATGTAGGAGTTGGATATGCAGCGTCTGTGCCCTAGAGTGTCCGTAACCCCAGCACTCCGACAGAGGTGGGAGGCAGGAAAGCCCTGGAGCTTGGCAGGACAGCTGTCCTGGCGTGTGCTGTGGGAAGAACAGAGACCCATGTCTCAGATGAAGATGGGTGAGTGAGATCCAACACTTGAGCTTGTCCTCAGACTTCCATAGCATGCGCATTGTAGCAAGTACACACACATATTCACACATGTGAATGTGCACATGCATTTACACACATATACACACACCATTGAATTACTTATATTTGTTATAAAGTTCTCTTTCTAGTAAAAGTTTTAAACAGAAACATTATATTTTTAATCATTTTTCTGCTTTAAATATGTGATTTGCTTTTGTATTTTCCCCACAGACTTCATTATTATTACTGTGTATTTGGGGGGAGGGGCATGAACATGCCCCAGTTGGAGTGGAGAAGGGAAGCCTGACTTTTAGGTTCTTTCCTTCCCAGGATTTCTGGGGATTGAACAAAGGTTCTCAGGCCTAGGGCAAGTGCTCTTACCCACTAGGCTGTCTTCAACCCTCCCACGGAATTTTTAAAAAATTCTTTTTGTGTGTCATTTTTTTACCTGAGATTGTAAAATTATGTGTGGTCATGTAGTAATTTTGCAGTAAATCTAAGATACCATTTTCTTCCAGGAAGGTACTTCAATGTTATTTTACCACCTCCTCTTATCATAAGAATATAATACTTTACCATGTTGCTTAATGAAAGACATGGCATTCCATTTATAACTCCATGCCCATTCATAAATTAGGTGTTCATTAGGTATATACTCCCATGCTCATTCATTTGAGTCACGGAAGAGATGGCTTGATTTACAGTCCACCTTCTGTTCATCTTTATTAGTGCTTTCAGAAGTTTGCTTTTAGGGCTGGGGGTCTAGATCATTTGGTAGAATGCTTGCTTAGCTTGCCAGAAAGGCATAGGTTCAGTCCTAAACACCTTATAAAACTGGGCGTGATGGTACACATGTGTAATCCCAGCATTCTGAAGAGGGGGGCAGGAGGATCCGAATCTGTTCAGGGTCACCCTTAGTTACATAGTGAGTTCAAGGCCAGCCTGGGCTATGTGAGACTTCTGTCTCAAAAAACATTTGGTTGACTACTAGTCAGAGAGCAGAGAAGTACTATGGACTGACTATTCAACCATAAATAGGACATTTATATCAGATCATATTCCTTCTGTGCAAGACTCAGGAACCATGGAGAAAGAGGGAACAGATAGACTGTAAGAGCCAGAGGTCAGAAAGGGCCTGGGCAAAAGTCTTCTGGATACAGCAGGATGAGTCATGAACTCACAGCAGCCATGTTTGCCTCCACAGGACCTCCACAAGATCAAGTCAGCATTCTAGATGGAATCAGGAGAGACAGCTTTCCCTAGCAGAAGAGCTGTTGACAGGGTGGTTCTTGGGGCAGGGACAGTTTCCTCTGAGGGTTGAACACTGCAGAGGACGGCCCCACCCGTGAGTTCTGAGCAGCACAGATTAGACTGGGGTGGATTACTTCTTTAAAAAGAGAACACGGAATTTGTAGGGGAGTGAGAGGTGGATCTGGGAGGAGGTAAGGGCAAGAGTTGGGCAAGTATGATCAACTCACATTACATACAGGTATGAAATTCTCAAAGAATTAATAAAAATATGCTTTTTAAGTTTGGTTTTTAAACCCTTTGTATATTCTGAAGAAGAAGTCATGTTGTTTACTAACTTTGCCATATTTATTGAGGTCGAGCATGTACTAACTTGTATGATACAAAGAGAAATCATGTATGTTCTCTACCTTAAGATACCTCACAGGGCTGGGGCGGTGATCACTGTCTCACAAACCAATCCCTGGACAGCAGAATTAAAACACCAGTTCCTGAAGGCTTTTCTCTGACCTTCCTACACATATCATGGCATGTGTCTCCCCACCCCACCTCAATAATAAATCACAAATTTAAAGGTACTTTGTAGCTTCCTAGATGCAAGCACTCAGTGACATGTGACTGAGATAAACCTCAGCACATAGGCAGAAAAAGGTCTCTTCTGGCCTGGGAAGGAAATGCCCAGATTTGAATGTTTGAAGTTTTGTAACACCCTCGTCTCTCTCATATGTTAGCATTATCAGCGATTTATGCTCAGAGAGTTTCGCTGTTGGATTACAAGGTTCTACAAGCTCAAACTATCTTAAAGTAAACCTAAATAAAAATCGGATCAAACGAGTGCCGTTATGGCCGGACTTGTGAAGAAAGGGCTGTGGACACAGATGTGTCCTTTGCCAGGGCTAGGGCTGAAGGGGAGAGCAGGGTACAGTGTGGGTCCCTGGAGATGGGCCTTACAGGATGAGAACAGGTGTTCCTGAAAGGGCTGCTTCATGAGAGATGCTGGTGATAGACTCAAGGTTTTTATTGCTAAAATTTTTCATCAGCTAATAATAGACTTTTAGCTATGGTTATTTTGTTGGTTAAGTATGGTGATAATTACTACGACTGAAGTTACATTGCAATCAATGAAATTCCTTTTCTGGCGTGACTTCACTGTCCTGCATGTGGCCATCCATTGGTAGAATGAAAATACACAACCCTGTTTGTCAGTTGAGAGTCAGTTGCTTCTGAGGAGGAGTAGTTCCTGTCTTAGCTGTTTTTAGCTGTGTGGTGAAAGTGAGGCAGAGTCAGGATAAGCTCTGTCCGTCAGGCAGTAGCACCGTGCATCACAGTTCAGACTGCACTGTCCCCTAAGTCACTGCCTGGCAGGCTCTTGATGGCACTAAGGGACACCTAAAAAATTACCAGGCAGAGGAGGAGACCCATCACCCCCACTGGCTCCTAGTGGTAGAGAGTGTATTTCAGGTGTGTTTGTGATTAATTACTATTATTATTATAGTTATTATTAATTCTTTGTATTAATTAATTATTCTTTTGTTACACTGTAGCTTGCCAATTCTGTAACTCCTTGGGATGTCTTGCTGAGCTTAATTGCAGCTGCTACTCATGATCTGGATCACCCAGGTGTTAATCAGCCTTTCCTTATCAAAACCAACCATTATTTGGCAACTTTATACAAGGTTAGTACAGTTCCATTGAGAATTAATTTGTTTTGTTTTGTTTTTTTTAGTATGTGCTTAAAATCCAGCACTGAGGAGAAAGAGACAAGAGGATCCCTTGAGCTTACTAGCTGAACAGCCTCACTTAATCCATGAGGCCCAGGCCAGTGAGAGACCCTCTCAGAAAACAGTGTGGATGACTCTTGAGGAACGTCATCCAAGGTTGATCACTGGCCTCTACATACGTGCTCATGTGCATGCTGCTCACACCACAAATGCACTCACCCACCCACAAATAAACACACACACACACACACACACACACACACACACACACACGAATAAATTAACAATATTTTAATACTTTGCATTCCATGCTGTTCAGTGTTTTAAGGAAATAAAAGTAGTGGAAGCAAATTTCCAATGAGTGTTAAAGCTTTAACCAAGTTGATGTTGCTGACAAGTGGTTTTTTATGTTCAGAAATGACTGTCAGGTAACCGAGAAACCCTTTTTATAGAATACCTCAGTCCTGGAAAATCACCACTGGAGATCAGCAGTGGGCTTGTTGAGAGAATCTGGTTTGTTCTCACATTTGCCACTGGAGAGCAGGTAAGTTGGATTAAGACAAATATATTGCCTATGGAAATAAAGTTAGTAATTAAACTAGTTTATAAAGGTTTGAAAAATATGTTATTAGTCAGGTGTTCCATAGTTTTCAGTTTTTGTTAAACTGGATGTATCTTTTTAAAAATTATCAAAATTGTGGAGCTGGAGAAAGGGCTCAGAAGTTAAGAGCACCTGCTGTTCTTGGAGAGGACCTGGGTTCAGTTCCCAGCAACTCATGCTGGCTCACAGACATCTACTCCCGGCACATACACATAAATGTGGGATGAATACTCATACCCTTAAAATCCAAAGAGTTCTATCAACATTCTGTTGGGTAGGTGCCCCTGGTGTTTCATTGGCTGTTTACCTTATGAAAGATATTGCATCTTTTTGAATACTGTCAACCTCCGCATACAGTGGTTTGGTGGCTTTACTTAACTTTTCATACTTTGTTGACAAAGGCTTCAGATCTGGGCTGAAAGCTCACACCGAAAGTGGACACTGCATAGCCAGACTCCTTCCAGCCTCAGGACACCTTCAAAGCCAACACAGCACTCCGTATCAGGAGGCCCTGGGCCTGCAGATGTGCAGTCTTAGACACCTGTGGTGCTGTCAGACAAAAGAGTGAATGAGAAGAACAATGGAAAATAGCTTAGAAAAAGTAGTGTGACACTAAACAGGCCGTTCTGGTGGCCTAATAAAAACACTAATGTAAGTTAGTCCAGTGTGATAGTGGTGGCAGAAACATCTCCTGCCCTGCCAGGGTGGCCTTTTGTCACTTCATTTTAAATATTCAGTATTGTGTTTGTCTTAACCTCCTTAACTGTTTTCTTTTATTATTATTATTATTATTATTATTTAATTTATTTTATAATTTAATTTTACATATCAGCCATGGACTCCCCTGTCCTCCCTCCTCCAGCCCCCTAGTCAACCCCCCATTCCCATCTCCTCCAGGACAAGGACTCCCCTGGGGATTCAGCTCAGCCTGGTAGATTCAGTTCAGGCAGGTCCAGTCCCCTCCTCACAGGCTGAGCAAAGTGTCCCTGCATAGGCCCCAGGTTCCAAACAGCCAGCTTTAACTGTTTTCTAAATTGTAAAACTGTGTTGTATGCATTCAGCACAGATGTGCTGTGGTTCACACACATGCAGAGGTCTGAGGACTGCTTACGGCAGTCTCCTTCCTCTGGGGTCCTCAGGATAAACTCAGGTCATCAAGCTTGGGAGGCAAGTGCTGTTCCCACTGAGCCATCTCACTGGCCTTGGTGACAGCTCTTTATTGTTGAAAACACAAAGATAAGCTTACTGTAACCTTGTTAAGGACAGATTTTTTTTTTTAAGTGTCTTTCTCTTGTTATCTCACATGAGGCAGTTTTTAAAATGATTCAGTGTATCTGCTACCTGTATTAACATATTACATTTTCCCTCCAGAAAATTCAAATATACTTATATAGATAATTGACTTTTCATTTTTTTTTTTATGTGCATGGGTGTTTTGCCTACATGTGTATCCATTCACCACATGTGTGCCTGGTGCCCCAGAACCAGGAGAGAGTGAGGGACTCCCTGAAACTGGAGTTACTGTGTGGGTAGTATATGTGGGAGTTGGGAATCAACCCAAGTCCTCTGGAAGAAGAGTCTATGCCCTTGACCACTACACCGTCTCTCTGGCCACTTGATTCAACTGCTGAGTAGACTTTTATTAGGATTTCATGAAGCATCTTTCTCAAGTATCTCAGTGGACAGTTGAATGGGCTAGCGTTCTCTCTCTCTGAATGTTCTGACTTTTAAGTCATTTGCTGTACGCATGGATTTCTAAGAAAATAAGAAAATTCTTAAGAATTTCTCAAGTGGCACTCCAGTGTTACACTGACTCTTCCCCTTTTAAGTGAATAATTACACTTTGGATGACAGAAAAAGATACTCCTTTGGAATATTTGCATAGTGATATTTCCCTGTAAACTTAGTTTGACTTTTGATTATTTTAATAGTTTTTTTAAATGCATTCTTCCCAATACTTTTTTATATATTACGTTTAAAGCAACTGACGGGGTATCTTAGGGTTTTGTAAAACTTTCTGAATATTTAAGTTTAAGGGAGAAAATGAACTGAAAGTACTCAGTGTCTTTTTCTTATGTCTCCAATTCCAGGCAGCAGATGGAGACTCAGATAGGTGCTCTGATCCTAGCCACAGACATCAGTCGCCAGAACGAGTACCTGTCATTGTTCAGATCGCACCTGGACAGAGGTGACTTACACCTTGACGATGGCAGACATAGGCATTTGGTTCTACAGGTAAGGTCCACACTGCAAAGATTCTGTTTGCAGGGTAACTCATGTGACGGGCAGAGCAAAAAGGAAACCCTGTAGCAGCATATTTTTTCAGGGTAAGTTGGAAGGAAAGAGAAGTTCCCCAGTTAGCACACTCCCTTCCAGAGGGACATGCTGGAGAAGCGTCTGGCTTTGGTACTTTCATCCCCGAGTTTCCGATGAAGAGTGAAGGGCACCCAGTCATCAGCGGCTTTCTGTTCTGATGAAGTCTCACATTAAGGGGGGGCAAGGAGTAGATGGTTTCTCTGGTTTGTTGGTACTTGATGACTGACCCAGTCGCTGCCTCCTTGGGATTGTCGAGGGTAGTTCCAGTTTAACAGGCTCGGCACCCTTATCAGCATTTCTGCACGAAAAATTGGTAGATCGGTGGCAGCATCAAGTTAATGTAACCGAGAGTTTTCTTTCACGGTAGTTTCCTCTTGGCTGGCTTCCACTTTATTTGGTTCTGGATCCCAGGCACACTAAACACGTGCCCTACACCTGAGCTACCAGCCCAGGTGCTCCTTTCTCTTTTCGGTGTTTTTCCCATTGTTGGAGTTTATTGAAACTTGGTACAACTAAGAGCTTTCCTTCCTTAACACAGTTTTAATATTTTGTTTGCTAGATGGCCTTGAAATGTGCTGACATTTGTAACCCATGTCGGAACTGGGAATTAAGCAAGCAGTGGAGTGAAAAAGTAACGGAGGAATTCTTCCACCAAGGCAGGTTATAGTACCGTGTGAATAACTTCAGAACCCAGCCATTTAGAAGAGCCTCACCGTAGCTGCATCATGTTTTTAACAACTGTTCGTAGTTCATGTGTAGCTATGAACCAGTATGACCAGTAACACACGGAGCATACTTTGAGACTGAGTGACTCTGTGTATTCATGACTATACAGAAAGCAGGTTGCAGGCTTGGCTGTGCAGAAAGATTGCTCTGGTCACTCCATCCCTTTGCCTGTGTAGAACGCAGGACCATGTGAGCATGTGGGGCATGCTTGAAAATAGTGACAGAATTAGTCTTGGGAGGAACACCTAGTAAAAAACCCTCTATGTGGTCCATTTAGTGATACCAGTTGGGCAAGCTTTCTGTGTGTTGCTAACTTCCCGTTTAATCCTCTCATGAGGATGGTGTAATGTTCTTCCAGTAAATTTACAGATACAATGAAGGTATTTGTTACAGATTTAGATAGCAGATCTGTTCCATCTTAACATTTCCCTTTTTTTTTTTTAATTTATAGGAGATATAGAAAAAAAGTACCATTTGGGTGTGAGTCCACTTTGTGACCGTCAGACTGAGTCGATTGCCAACATCCAGATTGGTAACTATGCACATTTAGTTGGAGCTTGTTAAAAAAATTACATTCATTTTGATTTTGTTAAGACTAGACTAGAAAATCATTCAAAACAGAGTATTCAGCTTATGCTCATTCTAGTTTGTAGGAGAGTTGAGGAACTCTTAACCACTGTTACCTGTTCCCTCTCTCTGCCAGCCCCTCCTGTCTGCCTCCTAGACTCGTTTCTTGAAGGTTCAAATGTCACTTCCTCCAGAAGCCACCTTCCTGTCCCCAGGCAGTCAGTCCCTCTGTCGGGCTCCCAAAGTGTACACACGTAATGCATTCTTTGCTTTTGACTTTGTCGTCCCACTGCCTGTCGCCACTGTACCAAGAGGTGGGAAGCACTCTAGAAGTGAGGGAACTAAGCGTGTACTGGGACACGCATAGACTGTGCTGTGATCGCCACTGAAAGTGGAGGAAGATGGCTGGATGACACTCCAGAGTTACAGTAGAGTGTATGTTAAGCAGCTGGGGTTGGGAGGGCCTTAGAGTTCAGAGTGAACATGGTGAAATGGGTTGATAAACATCAGGAAGGTGAAGTTGCTAGAGATTCGGGGCTAGCACAGGCATAATGCGGCGGGAGAATGCAGCAGCAGCAGCAGCAGCAGCAGCAGCAGCCCCTTCACGCCCCTGATCACAAAGCATCTTCCTGTAGGGCAGAGGGGCTGACTTGACTACAGTCAGAGATGCGGACAACAGGCACAGCCTGCGGAGGGCCCTGGTGCTGATCCTGTAGGAGTCGCCCTTGGCTCCTGTGGCTGAGGCTCTACACTGTGGTTTTTCTCTTGGTGGAGCTAACGAGACAGTGAACAGATCTGCTGTCTCATTTTCAGGATTCCCAAGTCCAAAGAATAGGTGAAATATGCAAGCTAGGTGAATGAGTAGTCCCTTTTATGTCTTTTTGCCTGAGGAAATTACTCTCTAGTCTAAAGAGGACTTCCATGGCTCAGCTGCTCCAGAGCTGTATTGGAAGCACCCACATCAGGTGGCTCACCCGTAACTCCAGCTCTAGGGGCCTCTGCCTCTGAGGACACTCAGACACATATGGAAGGCACTCAGCACACACATGAATAAAAATGTGTTTTAAATCGTGATTTTAGCTGGGCATGACTATACATGGCTATAATCTCACCATTTTCGGAGTGGAGGAGGAAGGGTCAGAAGTTCAAGGTCATCCTTAGCTATATAGTAGGGTATGTCATACTCAAAGAACAAAGCAAGGACTGGCAAGATGGCTCAGTGGGTAAATGTAGCTGCCATCAAGCCTGACAGTCCGAGTCTGATCCCTGGGGCCCACATGGCTTAGGACAGAACCATCTCCCGCAGGCTGGCCTCTGACCTCCCTGTGTGCACTGGCTGGTCTCACTTTAGTCATTTTTTTAAAAAACTAGTCTCATGATTCTTAGACCATTTCTACTCAGGAGTTTTGACATTTGTATAAATACTAAGGCGCGCCAGGTGTAATATTCCACCCCTGAGGAAGTGAAGCAGTCACCAGTGGGCCCCTCTCGGCCTGCAGTGGTCTGAGAATGTCCCTTGAGCTGTGTTCAGTCCTAGTGCCCTTAGAGTTGGTGTGGTCACCATCCATTAGCTTAAGTAGGATCTGGTTGTTCAGCTGAGAGAGAGTCAGGAAAGGCGGGATAATGTTGGCCAGCTCACTCTGGTTAGAGTACCACCGAGTTATCCAAGAGATCCGGATTTGTAAATGACATGTGCACACACAACCAGACCTTTTGAAAAATAATATTCTGGTAATACTTGCGTGGAACTCAAGAACATTAAAACTCTAGATGTTTTAAAGATCAATTTAAGATATGTATACTAATGATTTTTCCCCCGTTTCTCAAGGTTTCATGACTTACCTAGTGGAGCCTTTATTTACGGAGTGGGCCAGGTTTTCAGACACGAGGCTGTCACAGACAATGCTCGGACATGTGGGGCTGAATAAAGCCAGCTGGAAGGGACTGCAAAGACAGCAGCCCAGCAGCGAGGACGCCAATGCTGCATTTGAGTTGAACTCACAGTCACTAACTCAGGAAAATCGATTATCATAACCCTGAACCAGTGGGGAAAACTCCCTCCTGCAAGATTGGAACTGTGAAATGGGTCTCTCTCGAGGTGAAGAACTGGTTCTGTCCAGGGAACTGATGCCAGCATTATTTATTATTGAGTTTGTCTCTGTTGGATCGTTTGAGCCCACTTTTTAATGATAAGCCTGAATATACAGCAATATGCATCTGGCTTTTGTGTGAGACCCTGAATATACAAAGCTCAGCAGGAGAACCAGAAAGGATTAACAGAGGAAGACTTGCTGCAGATTTCACAGCATGTGTCCTCCAAGCCCTGAAACTTGAACCGAATCTCAGCAGCAATCTTGGTCTACCTGTCTGATACAGCAGCGCATCCGTCCCTTCCACTATTTTCTCTCTGAGAAAACAGAAATGTGAAGTGCCCAGCCTCTGCTGCCTCTGGCAAGACTCAAATGTTTACAAATCAACTCTGAAATACTGGTTCTAAATTGCCTTGGAGCATGATTGTGAAGGAACCACTGAGACATTCACTGCTCGAACTGGAGCCTGCAGCTCTCCTGTGGTTTGCCTTTTTTCTTCTTTGGATGCCCTCAGAGCCTCTCGTTCGCCGTTTTGTCTTGTGCACTGGAGAGTGAGTGGTTATCACGGAGCACCGAGTGTTTCACTCCAGTGCTGCTTGGCAATGCAGATTTTGAACTCTCCGTTTTTAATTGGGGGGAGGGAAGGAACACCAGTGTCCCGGCTGTGTCCAGACTGCAGTGAAGACACTGCATGTTGTTTTCACTGCTGCACACTTGACCTGCACATGCAAGGGAAAGGTGGACTGTTGAACACACCATCTCAGCTCAGGGTATTTGCCAATCCGAAATAAAGTGGGGTAGGGAAGTGTGTCCTTCAGATCAAGGGAACTAAAGTCCCTTTCGCTGCAGTGCGTGAGAGGTATGTTGTGTGACTGTATGTGTGTGTTTGCGTGCATGTTTGTGCATGTATGGCTGTGCATGTTCTGTCCATCCATGTGGGAAGGGATTGGAAATGTCAGCTTTTATTTATTGTTTTAGAATGTGACATAGTGAGCAGCCACACGTGGGGGAGGGGAAGGTGGGTCAAGCTGAAAGATGCTCCAGTTGCCTTAAACTCTGCACAAAGCTAAGTGACCAAACTTCTCGTTTTGATTGGAAAAGTGCATTGTTTTCTTGTCCCTCCCTTTGATGAAACGTTACGCTTTGGTGGGCTTTTTGATGTGAATATACGTTTTCTAGGATAAAATTTAAGGACTAATTTTAGACAAAACATTCCACTTTTGTAATTTGTTTTCAATGGTTTTATGTAGAGCAAGCACAACTGTAATCTAGTTTGAGAAACGGTGCTTTCTTTTAGTTCATTTGTATTTCCCTCGTTACTGTAAAAGACTGTTTATTAATTATGTTTACAGTTTGTTGCAACAGCCATCTTGGGAGAAAGCTTGAGTGTAAAGCCATTTGTCAAAGGCTTTGCCATACTCATTCAAACATGTGCCTGTTGCTGTTAACTTTTGATGAATAAAAACCGGTCTTTTCTCATTTTTATCTTTGCATTTTACCTTCCCACTCGATCCTTTGGAAATCATGTGCTGAATTCCTAGGTGGTCAGTCAGCCGTTTTTCCACTCACTCCTGGGTATTCTGCAGTCTAAGCTGTGTGCAGACACCTCCTCTGGCTCATGTGGCCTTACTCTCTGCACCCCACAAGTGTGCAAGGCCTGCTTCAGTTTGATCAGGCTTGCCTAGTATGGATGGTACTTGACTTCAAAGCATTTTGTTCCCGCAATTGGGAAACGCAATGCCTAGGAAATCACACCTTGGAAAGGGCTGAAAGTACCAGCTGTGTTTATGTTGACCTTCTTAAAGCAACATAACCAACAGCCACTCACTTTTTTTGAGACAGGGTCTCCCCAGTCTCAGGTGGCCTCAAACTTACCAGATCTCCCTGCTTCTGTATCCTGGGATTAAAGGTGTGCACCTTTAACTTTCCATGTCAGTTAAGAGTGGCCTTTCTGCCTTCCCAGGCCTAATTCACTAAAAGGAATATGGTGCAAACTTTAAAGTCAAACATCTGTGTTCTTAATTTCTAGAAGAAAGTAGAAGTTTACAGAACCCACTTGAGTGGTACCTGTTTCCTACATAAAGATGCAACTTCAATAATCTTATTCTAATATATCCAAAATATTTTATTTAGGCATATGATAATGTTTAAAGATACTTTACCTTTTTTTTTTTTAAAGTGGGGTGTTGTCTTTGAAATTTAAATTTTGTATTTTAAACTTATACCACATCTCAACTCAGACTAGTCTCATTTCAAGTGGTCCATGCTCACATTTGGCTCTCTTATTAGACAGCATAGGTACAGGATAGCAGCCAATCGGTCCCTCCTAAAGTGGCAGCATATTTGATTTGTCCAAAGGTCTGACAAAAACTCCTGTAAACTCATAGGCTGTTTCCCAGCTCATGAGAAACTCACCTTATACAAGTTCACAGTAACTGACATTGTAAAGAACAGTCTTGGCATTTTAATTTGCAATGAGAAATGTAACTACCAATCATTCTCTCCCTTTAGGCAAATCTCCTTGAGAAGCCAAATTAGGAGCAGCTGGTTTACTCAGTGAGCAAGGATTCTGAGCAAGGGACGCGTTTCCTCATGCAGCCATCTCCCTGTGGGGACACCTGCTGATATCCATAGCTGGGGACTGGGTACCCACTTTCCCTCTGCCACTGGTTGCTTCTCCACATGAGCCTGATTGGGAATCCCACTGTGTCTGTCACGTCCTTCAGCCCTTTCTGTTGAGCTGGCCTAGGCGGTTCACTGCCTGGGGTACCTGTTTACTTCTGCCCCGATTGTGCTGGTCTTGAGTTTACTAACGCCAAGGTGTCGCTAGCTGATGCTCCCAAACCCAGCAGAGTTGGTTTGCTTACAGTGTGTGGGAATTACCGGTCACCCTCCTGCTGCTTTGACTTATATTCCTGAACAATTGGTTCTTCTAGAAGAATTTGAGGAAACATTTAGATCACATTTTTTTTTAAAGTAAGCAAATACATAGTGCAAAATTCATGGCATTTCAAGATAAATTGGACATGTCAAAGAATTTTTGAGGATGTAGCAGCCATTTGGGAGTCTGGGCCCAGTACTGAAGAGGGGGTGGGTGAGGAAGTCTGCTTTAGGGGTGAGAAAAAAATTTTTGACAAGTCCTACCTTAACTACAAATCTGGTTCCTCATTAATATTTGTACCTTAAACATAATGGTTTGTAACAAGCCTCTTTGTATTTTTTTTTTTTAAAGCAAAAATTACATTTTTTGTCCTTTGCAAACCTGGAAAAAATACCCTGTACCTGAGGTATAGGTTAGAGGTGCTAGTGATCCCTTCGAGGTTCTGCAGTGGTCTTTCCCACAATGCTTTTTTGATGTTTATGTTTCCGATTTAAGACTTAAAAACTGTCACAAGCTTGTCATGTCTTGAGACCAGTAACTAATGTAATTCATACTGCTTTTAAAGAAATGTTCAAACTAGTTAGCATATCTTCAATGTGTATTTGAAACATAACTTACATTGGAGATTTGGTCTGCAGCCATTCCCTAAGAACCTGCATGGCATTGGGAGGACCCCCAAGGGGACATGGTCTTCAGGAGGGATCACCACCACTGCAGAGCAACATGGGGATGAGCTGACAGAAATATAAAGGTCTCATGTTCTTCAGTGTGCATGGCATAGGCCGGTGTAAATTGGGCCATCAGCAAACCAATTACTGTGGAATGTACCCTTTGGCTATCAGATTATGGATAAGAAATTTACTAGAAGTGGTTTGGTAGTGCTGAAGTTGTATCGTAAACGAGGTCTGGGTTCCCGTTGTACACAGAACGTGACAATGGGTGTTAGAATTTTAAAGAGCATTACAAGTTACAAGCCAGGATCTCCTTTCAAATTTTCTTGGTGAAAGACAATGTTTGTGATTAGTTTTCAGAATTGCATATGAAGGGAAATGCTGGGGTATTGTTTGAGAGACTGGCTTAATGAGGAAACTAACACTGTTCTTATCTCTTAATACTTAAGTCACTTAGCATTCAAATTTTATTACAAAATACAGTTTTCAGTATTCAAAATGATACTTTGAGTAAAATACTGACTTTATCAACTAAATTTTAAACTCCCTAAGTTTTCTAAACTATCCGGGACTCCATCTTTAGAATCTGGTAGGACGGAAGGGGAAAGAGAAATGCCGTTATTCTCAACGTTCAGCGTATTATTGGCTGTGAACTTAAAATTGAAATCTGCTGACTTAGTCATTTGTGGCTTTCAGTTGATTCAGCAGTCTGTTAAAAAATTCCATCTTGTACTTGTCTTTAAGCTCTCACACTCTCTTTCCTTCGTGTGTGTGTGTGTGTATGTGTGTGTAAAATAAATCTGAAGTATTTCTTCACTGTTTGGACACGTCTTTAAAAATTTCAGAAAACTGTAATGCTATCACAGTTTTTTATCTTACCTAAAATTTATAAAGATTATAAAGTTTTGAAGGAAACATCAAAGTCTACCTGTCGGTTTACTTCAGGCGTTGTGGCACAGGACAGCTCACGGATTGGAAAGGTGCGTGATCAGGTGCCAGGACCGTCATTCCAAAAGGGGTCTCTTTCCCAGCTTGCAGACTTGCTAACTTAGTTCTTTCTCACATGGCCAGTAGGATAAAGGGCCAATTTTCCTATTTTGAAAACACTAATCCCGTCGTGGGGATAACTGCCACCCAAAGAACCCATTCCTGTAAATGAGTTAGGGCCATGCATGAGACGGGTATTACACAAACATGCATTTATTAACTGCTCCAAATTCTTAGGTGTAGGGATATAGCTCAGTGGTAGAGCTTTCTTCGGCCATGCAAAAGGCTCTCCGTCACACAAAATGAACAGAAAACTGGACTTTCTATCTGGGAGTCATCATAACAGGAAGGAGTTCAGTGTTCTATTGTAGTGGACATATCAGTTCAGGTAACTGGGGTGCTGTACAGAGATTTGTGTGTCGCAGTGGGGACCACTTTTACAAAGCTGAACTTCAGGAGACATGGAATGGAATTCAGCTATCCTGGGAGCGTCCCCTTGTTCTTGGTTCCTGTTTTCTTCCCTCTGCCTCAGTTTCTCCTTAGGAAGCAGGATTATGTAGTGTTGTTTTTAGGAGTAGTGTCCACAGCATGGCAGACCTGGGTTTAAGTCCTTCATTCAACAAGGTACCCAATCTTCCTGACTTCTGAAATCCTTACCTCATAAAGTCAAAGGGCTAGTAAGTACTAAAGGAGTGGCTGCTAGTCCATTTCCTCCTGACGCCCTTGACCTGTTAAGTCCACACAGTCTTGAGAGTCCCATTCAGATTTCTGGAAGAAGTTTGTGGCCTACGCTCCACGGGTCAGGGAGGACAGAGGATAAGGACCGTCTGGCTAACGTGACCCTTGTGCTGTTACACACACCTGTGTACTCCGTTGCTAACATCAGTACTTCAGAATGACTTCCTAGCTCTACTTGAGGCCTTCCCCGCCCCACTTAAGATACTGGTTTCTAATATAAAATCCCCTGGGATGTGAACCATTTACTCTTTCATAAAAACATCTGGTCAGTAAACAGGAATGGCCATTGGGAACAAAGACAGACATGTTATACCTTAGTTGAAAACTTTGTAAAAAGTGGCCTTTGTCCTTAAATTATGGCTTTTTATCATGAAGTAATCATGGCTCCCTTACCATAACCACTTGGTTTGAAATGGAAAGTGCTACTTGACCCTTTGCCCTGAGAATATTAAAACTACACTCATGTTCTGCTCTAACCATAAAGGGCCGTCTGACTATTCCAAGAGTCCAGAAAAATCTATCAAAAGACAAAGTCTGAGAACTTGTAGCTAGAGGAATATCTCTTAGTCCTAGAGTGAACTACTGACAACTTCCTCCGGAAAAATACAAGATGCTGGGTCCTTACTTGGCTGTGGTGTTTTTGTTAGAATTTGTTGTCAAGGTATCACTAAGACCAGTGAAGTGCTGGCCTGCTTAAGAGGATTTCCAAGAACTGTCCAAGAAGAACCAAGAAACAGGCTCAAGAGGAGCTCAGAATGGTGTAAACTACTAGAAGTTTAAACTCTGTTTTTGAGACAGGGATCTCAATGGCTCCAGAATAAATCCACTTGTCCACGATCATGTATGGCTCCAAATCCAGTGCTCTGACTCACATTTTCTCTCTGTGAACTATCACTACAGCTCTATCAGATGCAAAGTTCCTCTACTTCAAGAACTCTTTCCTTAGCTGTCTGTTGTGTTTCATTCAGGCCTCTGGGGTGGTTTTCCTGCATTAAAACCAGTCTAAGAGGAAAGTGAATGATAGATAACACAGCTCATTAAGGAAGGTATCACTGCTTAAAAATGCATCACAAGTTACCCTAAAGCCACAGGTGCAGCACAAAGAACCTTAGCTACACAGGAAAGGAGGTGAGGAAAGCAGAGAGAAGGGAGGTAAATGTACAAAGATAATAGTATAGTCGAAAGAAAATTCAACAGGTTGCTTTATTGTAAAATAGTAACTTTCATATATTGGAATACTAGCCAAATTCAATACTGATATAAATATTGTATTATTGAATAAATAAGTTTCTTAGGTCAAAATATGTGGTCAGGTGAATTTTCTGAATCTCATAAAAGACAGTTTTCAAAGCATATAAAACATTTATAAACAATATACATCAATAACATACCACATTTTAAACTAAATAAACTATGAAAAATAGCTCAATCTTTAAGATTTAGAACACATATTTTCAATAACTTAAAATACCTATCTACACTTCCCATCTCTTAATTCTCCTGGGAAGAACAACTAGTCGCTAGATTTAAATAATCCAAATATTTATTCAAAGTAAGAGATTCTGATATTAAAGATAGTTGAGCTTATTAGAAACACAAAAATCATGAAAACTTATTAAGTACTTTAAATTATAACAAGTCCTTTCAAGCCCTAGATAATAAAGGCAGTTTTCAACTTTCTAGTAACACCTAAGGTTTATCTGCATAATGCAATTCGTCGGCTGACGATAAACAGCTGAAAGGGAATCTATTCACCTATTCAGTAATGTTTCATTGTAAAGGATATGTTGACCAGTATTTAAAATGTATAAATTTAGTTATGCTAACATTTTGTGTTGTTGTGCTGGCTAGTTTTGTGTGCACTTGACAAGTTAGAGCCATCAGGAAGGGGGGAACCTCAATGAGAAAACGCCTCCGTAAGATCCAGTTGTAGGGCATTTTCTCAATTAGTGATTTCATGGGGAGGGCCCAGCCTGCTATGGGAGGGGTCACCCCTGGGCTGGTGGTCCTGGGTTCTATAAGAAAGTAGGCTGAGCAAGCCAGGGGAGCAAGCCAGTAAGCAGCACCCCTCCATGGCCTCTGCATCAGCTCCTGCCTCCAGGTTCCTGTTCTGTTCAGTTCCTGCCCTCACCACTTTTGATGATGAACTGTTCTATGGAGCTGTGAATGAAACAAACCCTTTCCTCCCCAAGTTACTTTTGGTTCATGGTGTTTCATCATGGCAATAGTAAACTTAACTAAGACAATTGTTAATTTAGCAATAAATCATCTTCATGAGGCCACTCATTAAACTGAAAAGAAAGATGATACATTCTGGCTTTTATTTACAAAGTTATTTTAATTCAATAATTTGATTGTTACCACTTGAGAAGTACATTTGCTTCCCAGTATTGGGTGGCAATAAGGTTTAAGCAGCCTTCCTGGCCCTCACTTCCTCTAACAGAAAGCAATAGAGAAACTCAGCAGTAAACATTTGCTGCTGCTTATGTAAACTCAGCTCCAAGAGGAGGAAAATGTGAGAACATTCCTAAGTTCTGTTCGGGCATTCCCACCAGTACTCTACTCAAATAGCAGGGTACACCAGCTGTTCCGTCACGGACCAGTCAGCTTGAAGATGAAGGTAACAGTGTCCTCACTGATGCCATTCATAACGAGTTTTTACATAGTTTTATATCCAAATGTGTGCATATAAAACATTTGCACAGATATTAGTGTTAAGAATTGAGAATGCACAGCAACATCCACAAATGGCCCGTTTGTATCCTGAAGCCCTACAAATACTTTTGAGGCTGGAAGATAAAGCCTGGCTACCTATTTAAAAACATATTATAATCATTGTGTTAAGGAGAGCTCTAGAACTGACCATCTCATAAGAGTCAAACCAACTCCTGTGGCTTCACTACTTCTTACTCCTAATTAGGCTAAGGAGACCAATGAATACTCCAGTCAGGAATTTACTAAATACTGGTGATTTCTACTAGTCAAACTCAGCTCTGCAAGCCAACAGGTGAGACAGGAGTCTTTCTGAACTCATTGTCCATTAGGAGTCAATTAAAGCCTTCATTTTCCCTGTAGACTTCAATATATGCGGGCCAAACTGGAAAAGAAAAGAAAAAAAGCATGAACTAGGTCAACAGGTATCTTCATGCAAACACCGGGCAGAAAGGAATTAGTATTGGAGATATCTGCTCAGTCTCTGAGAGACTGGCACACACCTTCCACGTCCATGTCGGATCTCACTAGGAAAACTCACAGGGTGCTCCTGGGAGAAAATGATCCTGTTTGATTTTGAGTAAATCTTTTAAAATTTGAATACAAACACTATACACTGTCATAATGAAAATTTTATTAGGTTGAATTTCATTTTATCATTCTCAAATACAAATAAAAGCTTGCAGGGAAATTCAGGGTAGACTTTGCTTTTTTCACTCATACTTCTCTGTAAGTTTTAGGTTTCCAAACAGCTAGCTTTTACAGTGAGAAAAGCAGAAACAAAGATGTCCTTGCAGGGCACAGTGGCACAACTCCTTTAATCCTAGCACATGGAGGTGGTGGTTTTAAGATCAGGACTTAAGCCAGTCTAGCTACAACCCAAGTTCAAGGCCAATCTGGATTTCATGTCTCAAACGGACAAAAGAATCACCTTTCCCCACCCAGCGAGCTACAGTCTCCATACAGGTAGAAAATAGGACCCAGTGCATCACGCAGGGGACACACATGGGTGACCTGAATACGAATCAGCACCTCACTTGCTAATACTCACCAGGGCTGGCTCTGAGGTGGCCTCTGACTCTGGCTTTGGAATTTCTCTTTCCACTTCACCTTGACTACTGTGTTGATAGCGATAAGCAAACTTCCTTTTCAGAGCCTCTGCTATGAGGGCAGCAGGGTCAGCAGTATCTACTGGCCTAGGCTTGACATCTTTCTCTGACCTTTGAGAAGGGAGCAGAAACCAAAGGGACAGGTCAATATGTGAATGTCCCTCATGGAGGTTCTCTGTGGACAGCAGTTCCTTTGTGACCTAGTCACTACTAGCAGCTGGAGGAAGCACTGGACTTCATAGCTCAGCATGAGAGTGCACAATCAGATAAAGAGCCACTGAGGGCAGTCAGGGCTTCATCTTCCACAGGTGTCCAATGCCTCCAAGAGAGGGGCACAGCATGCCTTCACTGAGTGAGTACTCACAATAAAGAATCTACACACGGGTAATGAGATGGCTCAGCAAGTAAAGGTGTCTGCCACCAAGACTGAAGACTGAATTCAATCCCCAGGACTCCATGGAAGGCAAGAACCAATCCCCACACGTTGTCTTCTGACCTCCCCACACACATATGGAGGCTTTTCTTTTTTAAGATTTTTTTTTTTTTTTTATTTAAGAATGAGAGTGTTCTATCTGCTTGTACAATTTTATGCCAGAAGAGGGCATCAGGTCCCACTAGAGATGGTTGTGAGCTGTCATCTGGGTGCTGGGAATTGAACCTAGGTCTTCCGGAAGAGCAGCCAGTGCTCTTAACCTCTAAGCCTTCTCTCCAGCCCCCGGAACTTTTTCTTAAAATAGGTAAACTTTATTAAAGATATGGGTTTATGGCCAGAGGGTGATGGCACATGCCTTTAATCCTAACACTCAGGAGACAGAGAGAGGCAGAGGCAGGCAGATCGCTGAGAGTTTGAGGCCATCCTGGTCTAGAGGATGATACTTGGTGGAATTGATAAGTCTTTGGAGCTGCTAACCTCTCTTGAAGGGAAAATGGTGCCTAGCAGTCATTTTGTGAACACTTCTGAGACAGCACTGGCCCCACAAGACAGATGGGAAGCAAGAACGAAGGGGAGCGCCTCACCTCTTGACTGACCGTAGCTTCACACTGTTCATATCTTTAAGGATCTCAAGCATATTTGGCATGTCAGGCGGCTTTGGGTGGCTCTTCACCAAAGTCTTTCCAGCATTGAGTCTTTGCTCTCTTCGCTCTTTAATCAGATCAACAGCAGACATACTTTGGTGGAGAGGTGGGGGAGGGGGTGGGGGAGGTGGAGGAGGGGGGGGGAGGAGGAGGGGGTGGTGCTACTGTGGAGGAATCTGAGTGACCTACAGAGGAAACAGAAACAAACATAAACTTTCTGGTAACAGGCAAGAAAACATCACTTTTTAAAAGCAAAAGTATGTAACAGACTTCTGTATTCCTAAAAGCAGTATCCTTAAAAAAGAATGTCAGTTCTATAAGGAAAATGCAGTTCAATTGCTGAAAAATGTCTGAATCTGAGCTACTACTCCACTGAAGCCAAACACACCCAATGGAAATGTCTCATTCAAATGAATAAAGGTGGCTTTGAGATCTTAGATGCATCTGTTTGTGGTACACAGCATAATCACTCAGCAAAAAAAAAAATAAAGCAGTCCATACTTGAAAACATTTGTCCTCAATACACGCTGGACAATTCAGAACTATTGTCAAGTATCACAAAAACTTCATCATAGCTGTGTGCTTTGGGGTACATGCCTATAATGTTAGCACTTGGGAGAAGGAAGCAGGAAGATCATCACACCAGTTCAAGGCCAACCTGATCTAGATAATGAATTCCAGGCCAGTCAGAGACACAGAAGAAAACCTTGTCCCACAAAACAGTATTACACTTAATTTTCAACAAAAAAGAAATAAAAAGCCTAAAATTCATTGTTTCACCTAATTCAAGTTAGCTTTCTCTGCTGCAGAACTGTACTGATGAGCACTTGGGGGCAATGGTTATGTGTGGAGAGTTTTACTGGAGTATTCAGATTGTAACTAAGACATCTCAACCAACTCCAGTTAGCTCCCATTTATGGTAGTTTTCCTAGTCTACCAGCAGAGGGAGGTAAAGAAAACACTTCCAAGTTAATAGAAGAAAAAGGCAGAACTTGATATGCGAGCACATGTCTATGCAAATCACTAAAGACCACCCCTCACCTTCCCGTGCTCAGAGCCCAAAGCACCTTTACCCATCATGCCACACTGCATGGGGATTCCAAGATGATTCAAACACAGGGCACTTGCTTTGAAAGAAACAACAGGGAAAACAACCACTATGTTCCAACAGACTGGCAGGCTAGGAGTTCAAGGCCAGTCTCTTCTCCATGGAAAAAACCACCACACTAATTAAGACAACAGTATTAAATCAAAAGTCCTGAATTTGATTTCTACTCTGGACAAGAAGAAGAGAATGGCCACTAGGTATCTGCTGTGTGCATTTATTTACTTTCCATACTTAACAGCACAGACACTTGGTAACACGGGTACTGTTATACCTAACTTAGAGCAGGAAAGAGGTGAAATATCAGATGTTTACCTCAAGCCATGCAAGCATAAACAGCACTTGGCACAAGTCCCACCCAGAAACTGGTTCCTTTCACAACTGGGTTGTCCTCATGTCTGAGAGAAGTGGTTATCAGATGGAGGGAGCTAAGCTTCCCATAAAGCAGTCATTCATAACAGCACACTTCAGCAGGCATTTCAGTGTTTGCCAAGTAGATAATTCCCTAGTCGTCTTCTCAAACACAAAGGCACACACACACACACACACACACACACACCAGGTTCACAGTAGATGGACTGAAGAAGACTTAACAGCTCGCACTGTCCTACCTTCATCTACCTGTTGGCTAATCACAAGAAGCCAACACAGGAGCCACATACCTGCACCAAGACTCTGTTGCTCCTGTAGGGTCACAATCTTGGCAATCTGAGCTCGAAGGGCAGCAAGCTCATTCTCAAGTGCGGAGATCTTCTGCAAGGCCTCCTCACTGGCCAGTGTTGTCTTTGGAGGGTGCTCATCTTGAGACAAGTTTGGTAAGGAAACGTGCCTGCTTGGGGGCTTCTCAAAGCAAGGAAGGTCATCCTCGAGGGGAGACTTGGACCTGACCTCTGCCCTGCAAGGAAAACATAAAGGTGGCCGTCACAGGGCTGTTAAGGAGACATGAGTAGACACCCACACGATGCTCTCACACAAGGCAGCATTCTCCAGCTACAGGCCAGCACTGTCCCACTCCTCTACTGCCTACAGTGCTAATCTACCACTGTCAAGAGGCACCACAGGAGCCCAGACAAGCTGCTGATGGTCTGTGTTCTGGTTCAGCTTCAACTAAGACAATTTTCATCTTCTAAATGGTAATCTAATCATAACCGACAGATCAAACCAGAAATTTATGAGCCCGTCTCTAGGGTGCTGGCTTCTGCCTTTAGTGCCAGCATTCCTCATATATGACAAAACACATCAAACAAGAAATATGAGGACAATATAAGCTAACCACATCCCAGAAACTGAAAGGCAAGGGGAATCAGTGTCATTTCCCCTTATACCCACGCAGTGAAAGTCTGAACACTGCAAACACTGTTCCCTGGGCTCTGATCTGCCAGTCACTGGGAACACTACAAAACCAGAAGAACTCTTCATGAGTACAAGAAGCAATTCCTGGTACAAAGATTGCTAATTCAAAGTAGTCTGGACTACACAGTAAGTTGGAAGCCAACCTGTGCTACAAAGAGCAGAAACAGTTGCATTGTGCCCAGCTTAAAGACTGCACTTTCCAGTTCCTCTTGCAGTTTGGGGAACATGTAGCTGACCGGGCTAACAGAGCTCCAGACAGAACTAGGCAACAGCTGAAGGCAGCCAAGCCTCAACCTTCCTCTGCGCTGAGACCAGTGCAGTGCACAGGGGTGTCAGTGAGAGCAGGTGATGTGGCAGCACACACTGGAGACTTCGCAAGGCTGGCTCCATGACACCAGCTATGCTTAGAGATTTCTGAGACAGAAAAGAAACCATTTGGCAAGAAAAGTGGGCTGCCACATCATCCAAACCTCTTTCCTCATAGCTCCTCTACCACATGCAAGCCGACTAATGCTTTTTTTTTTTTTCTGAGGAAGGGGCTCACTCACTGTGAAGCTCTGGCTGATTTAAAACTCTCTAGGCAGCCCAGCTTTCAAGGATACCCCAACCTCTACCCTCAAGTTCTAAGATTACATGCCCGTGCCACCATGCTTACTTTAAATAATCAAATGTTACTAATCACAGGTATTAATCAAGTCCTTTAAGCAACACTCAATTTAACTTTTGCTTAACTTGATATTGGTGTTTTGTTTTGCTTGAGAACTGTATAGATGACTCTTAGCTTTAAGCATTAGGAACTGAATCTGGGTGTTTTGCTCAAATCTCTTTATGAGTAAGTTAAAATGTCTGCAAGTTGCCTTTTCACCTGTAAGATTTAAACAATAAATTTCAAGAATAAATGCCTGCTCTTCCCCAGTCCTTAGCCCACCTAGTATCATAGTAGTAACTTTATTTAATTTGGAATATGTGTGGGATAGCAAAGCGTTTCGGTTCTGAAGCCTTGATTACTGCTTCCTTTTTTACCTTGACACTGAGACGAACAAATGAGGAAATTGGTTTAAAAGATGAGTGAAAAATAAACCTTCACAAAAACTTCCAAAGGCTGGACATGGTGACACATGCCTGTCATCCCAGAACTTGAGAGGATGAAGCCACAGGTCACGAGTACAAAGCTAGCCCGGCCTACACAGAGAAACCCCATCTGAGGGCTGGGGATATAATGCACTTCAGTCAGTGGAGTACTGGGTCAGCATGCACAAGGCGCTGGCTTCCAACACTGCACTGGACTAGGTCAGCAGACTATGCCTACAATCCCTGGATTGTGGTGGCAGAGACAGGAGAGAGGAGTTCAAGATCAATCATCCTTCATTACATAGTAAGTTCAAGGCCACACTGGGCTACATGAGATCCTGTCTCAAAAAACAAGAGGGTCTAGAGATCATTTAGTTGATAGAAAGTGCTTGCTGCACAACCTTGTGGACCTAAGTTTGATCCCTAGAACTCATGTGAAAAGTTAGGTGTGGGTGTACATGCCTGTAGCTTCAGCACTGTGGAGGCGGAGAAAGGTGGATCCCTGGGACTCAGTGGCCAGGCAGCCTAGCCTAATCGGCAAGCCCAGGTCCTAGAGAGATTTTGTCTCAAAACACAAGATGGACAGTACTAGAAGAATACCTGAGGCTGACCTCTGGCCTCCACACATTTGTGTACGTACATATATGTCGACACACATGAACAAGCACACACCACATAGCACACACATACACAAAGGATTACATTTCTACATAATGACTATAGATGAATATTATCCTTTTCCTTTTCATTTGACTGAAATCTTAACAAATATAAAAACAAAAAGAAGTATCTAGCACAGATGTTTAAAAAACAGAAAACAGCTGTGATGTTCCTTTAAAATCATTTCACCACACGGCTCTGCTAGTGAGATTTCTTGTTTGACCTGTTCCACTCGGCTCCCACATATGCTAAGGTAGAAAAGCACGGGCTCTTGGGTAAAGTACGATGCTCTGACATTACCTAACTCATTACTGTGCTGGTTTGTCTTACATCAACTTGATACAGCTGGAGTCATCTGAGAAGAAGGACCATCAATTGAGAAAATGTCTCCAGAACGTGGTTCTCAACCTTCCTAATGCTGCGAACCTTTAATACAGTTCCTCATGTTGTGGTGACCCCCTAACCATAAAATTATTTTTGTTGCTACTTCTTAACTAATTTTGCTACTGTTATGAATCATAATGTAAATATCTATGTTTTCCCCTATGAAAGGGTTGTCTGCTGTGGGATGGTCTGTATGTCAAATGTGTTGCTGATTGGTCAATGAATAAATCACTGATTGGTCAGTGGCCAGGCAGAAAGTATAGGCGGGACTAACAGAGAGGAGAAGGGAGAGAACAGGAAGCTGGGTGAGGGAGAGACTGCCAGCCGCCATCAGGACAAGGAAGATGTAAAGTACCGGTAAGCCACAAGCCACGTGGCAAGGTATAGATTAATAGAAATGGATTAATTTAAGCTGTAAGAACAGTTAGCAAGAAGCCTGCCACGGCCATACAGTTTGAAACCAATATAAGTCTCTGTGTTTACTTGGTCGGGTCTGAGAGGCTGTGGGACTGGCGGGTGAGAGAGATTTGTCCTGACGGTGGGCCAGGCAGGAAAACTCTAGCTACAGTTGTCTAACCTACAAAGGGGGTCAAGACCCACAGTTGAGAACCACTGCTCCAGATTGGCTATAAACAGACAAGCCTTTTGGGCATTTTCTTAGTGATTGATGGGGGAGGGCCCAGCCCATTGTAGGTGGGGTCACCCCTGGGCTGGTGGTCCTGGGTTCTATAAGAAAGCAGGCAGAACAAGCCTTGGGGAACAAGCCAGTAAGCAGCACCCCTCCATGGCCTCTGCATCAGCTCCTGCCTCCAGATTCCTGCCTGCCTGAGTTCCTGCCTTCACTGCTTTTGATGATGAACTGCTATATGGAACTGTGAGTGAAATAAAAACCCTTTCCTCCCCAAGTTACTTTTGGTTCATGGTGTTTCATGACAACAACAGTAACCTTAACTAGGACAATTATCATTCTTCTGTGATGGAAGAGAAGCCACTCTTGGCTTGACTTTATTTTGAGACAGTCTCAGGTGTCTCGGCTGACCTTTAAATAGGATCTCCACCCTTTGAGAAACAGCCCTCCCATCTGTTCACCTCCTGCTGGCCCCTCACCTTCGGCCTGGCACCCACTTCTCAAGAAGCCAAGCTAACCTCCCTCCTCATGCAGGGACTTTCTCCACTATCAGGAACCCTGACTTCCTCCCCCTGGGATCTCCTCCAGCACGGTGTGTCTCTTACCCACTGTGTCTGCTCTCTGGTGCCCAGTGGAGAGTATGTGCTGAGTAACTTCCGTAGACTGACCGCAGAGTGGATATTCTCCGTAAGCTTCCAATGAATGGAAACACCTCTAACACTCACTGTCCCCTCCTGTAACCCCGATTACATGACACAATCTTGATACAGTTTTTAAGAAACATTCTCCCAGTACACAAGTTCACTATGATCTGATGGATCGCTGTGCTCCAATGAAACTATTGTAACTTACTTAGGTTGACAGTTCTTTCTGGCCCCTTATGCTAGAATGTAACTAACTTCCTGAATGGAAGGAAATTCTGTGGTTCACAAGGACTTAGGACATATGTTCTTGGGAACTTTACAAATACTAGATTCCGAAAAATAAACCACAAAGAAGACTGTTCAAGAAAAAATGAGCGGGGCCAGATATCATCACACAGGATCTTAAAGTATTCCAACATGTCCTTGGAAGCAGCAGACACTGCACCTCAGCCCAGCAGCCTTCTAAACCAACCTGAGTCTTGTTGAGCACTCTCCTTCTTCTGTGGCTACCCATCCAACATCAGCAAAAGATGCCACCACATCCTCTCCTGGTTGGGCAGGACTCCCTTCTGTGGCATGGCTGGTGAGCTAGAAGTTACAAAAGAGAAAGTTCCTTATCTGTGAAATTTCACAGAAAATTAAAAACCAAAGAGATACTGTCAGCCGGTGTTAGAACACATGGTTGTCCAGTAGCTCCATGGCAGGCCTCCATGAAAGGGCTGACCAGTCACATCACGTGCCACCCAGCCCTGGCTCACAACCTCTGGATTACAATTTAACATTACCCAAGTTTCACATCATAATTCATTTACTTCGTTCATCCAAAAGCGTAAGAAAAAATTAGATTCTAAGTCTTACAAGTCTGACTTGGAGCTAGGAGTGCAGCTTAGCAACAGGACACTTCCGTGGTACTCTTAGGCCCCAGCTCTCTAGCGCCCAAAACAAACCAAAGATGCCACTGCTTCCTGGAGCGACTCAGGGAAGCAAGTGTGGGGGGCCCAGAGTCAACAAGCCCACCTGTGGTGAATGCTCTGTGCACTAGTGATGGTGATGTTAGCGCTGGCTAGCCCACCTGTGGTAAATACTATTGCACTAGTGATGGTGATGTTAGCGCTGGCTAGCCCACCTGTGGTGAATACTATTGCACTAGTGATGGTGATGTTAGCGCTGGCTAGCCCACCTGTGGTGAATACTATTGCACTAGTGACAGTGACAGTTAATATTCTTTTTTTTTTTTTTGGTTTTTCGAGACAGGGTTTCTCTGTGTAGCTTTGCGCCTTTTCCTGGAACTCACTTGGTAGCCCAGGCTGGCCTCGAACTCAGAGATCCGCCTGGCTCTGCCTCCTGAGTGCTGGGATTAAAGGCGTGCGCCACCACCGCCTAGCTTGACAGTTAATATTCTTATCAAAGTGACTGCATTTAAGATCACCCAGAATACTTGGGAGGCAGAAGCAGGTGGGTCTCAGTGAGTTCAAGGCCAACCTGGTCTACAAAGTGAGTTCCAGGCCTGCCATGGATACACAGTATAATCGTATCTTAAAAAAAGAAAGGAAAAAACGGAACACGCACCTCCTGGTTTCAGTGAGGAGGAAGACCTACTCTAGATGTGGTTAAGAAGGGAGCCAATGGGCACCAGCAAGCGTCTCTGTTTTCCGCCTGCAGACGAAGGCGTCACCTGACCTCCCCCTGCCCCATGCCTTCCCCAACATGATGGACGCCCTCTACCCTAAGTCACTCTGTCAGGGACTTGGCCCCAGCGATGAGCAGAGCAGCTGACACAGAAACTGCTGTTCTGTGTGCTACAGTACGGAGGGGCTGGAAGGGAAGTGCTAAAGGCCTTCTGTCTCTTACATTCTATCTGAGCATTAGACAGCACAGTACTAAGTTTTAGCACTATTACAAAACGAAGAGCAGAGGAAGAGAGTTCTCTGCCTAAACTTAAACACAGGGTGAAAGAAAACTATCTTGAAAGAAACACCGAAGTAGATTCTAAAATGTATCTAGGGGCAAACAATTTAACTGAATTAAACTTAAGCTACATTTCACATATTATGTGTCAGAGTCAGAAGGTCAATAGTTAACAATTTAAAGTGTCCAAATAAACTTCCTAGAAGTGAAGTGGAGAGGGGCTGGGGAGCTAGGTTGGTTGTAGAGTGCTTGTCTAGCATGCAAAAATCCTAGCTTCAGTCCCAATGCATCAAAAGGAAGAAATAATTCAAAGAAACAAGACAACTCGCTTTATAATTGAAGAAAAAGAAGCAACAAGGCCAAAGATTTCCTACCACATTCATCAGAACCGCTGTACTGGGAACTGTCAGTATTTGGACCATCTTTCTGTGAACACAGGGCTCCATACACCAGACCCTGAAGTCTGTGTCTTTAGCTATGCTTTATTTTGGAGGAAGACTGAAAATTCTCTAATTTTTATAGAAAAGTAAAAAGTCTTAATCAAAAGTAGATTTTATGTGCTATATGCTTAACATCTTAGTCTGTACTTGCCTAGCATGTGGGAGGCCCTAAGCTTGATCCCCGGCACCACAGAAGAGCGTGACGGAGCTGGAAGCCAGAGGATCAGACCTTCAAGGTTACTCTCAATTACATACAAATTTGAGGCCAGCCTGGGATATGTGACCGTGTCCCAAAAACAAAAAGGGAAAAGGACAGGAAAACAGAGACTTGGGTCAGCAGCACATGCTTATGCATGCCGGCAACCCAATACTAGGCCGTAAGGGGAGATGATCAGGGATTCAAGCCCAGTCTCGGCTATAGTCAGACCTTATTTCAAACAAGGAGGGAAAAAAAAACAGGCCACATTTAAGGACTCAAATCTAATTTTCAAGGTTTTATAAATAATGATCATTATGGATCAAACATTGTTTCTAATTTTATGTCTGAGTTTGATTCCTAAAACTCACATTGTGGGAAAAAATGACTCCTGCAACTTATCCTCTGACCTTTCCACAGAACATGCATGCATACATGCATGCATTCATACACAGACACAGACACACACACACACACCCATCTCCCAGGGCTTATTTTGCAATCTTACTTAACTATTTATTATGCCATGTACATGAACACATGGCACATGACCAGTGATATGAAGATGGCAGTGAGCAGTCAAGATCTGTCTCTACCATCTTGATCTGATACTCTCCCCAACACAAGCTGTTCCCCACTGAAGCCAAATTCAATTAAGAGAAAAAAGAAAACTGACCCCAAACTTTTTAAAAGGCCATTTCAGCTACTGCTTGAAAAGAACCATTCACTGAGTGACTAAGCATGACACGGAAAGGCGATTTCCAGGACAACTGAAGCAAAGTCCAGGTCAAGCAGAAGTGGGCACTAGCGAGGGGAACGAGACCAAGTTCTTCAAGCATGATTTAGACATTACTCCCATGGGCATGCACGGATAAATGAGACGTCTGAAAACAAAGGACTTACTGTTCATTTGTAGGAAGGTCCTGTCCTGTTAAAGCTACTGTTAGCAGAAAAGATTGAAGAGTGAAGACAAAGAAATGGAGAGTAGGCACTGTAGTTTTAAAGTTTTAAGAAATTCATTTGAATTTCTTAATTTGAAAAACAGTAAACTAAAACTCGGCAATATCTTAGAATCTTACCACAATACTCTTGACTAATTTAAAATAGTCTGATAATGTAAAACTATTCTGAGAAATGGACTTCAGCAACAAAATGCTTAGTGTCCATGGTGGGCTGGCTTCCAGGACACCTTCCATACATACCAAAGCATAGTAAACATGGGTCACTTGCTCTAAAATGGCTTATGCATTTACATATAACATGTCCACACCCACCCATATTCTTCAACCATTCATCTCCAGATTACTTTGTAATACCTAACTACTCTAAGTCTGTTTATGCTCCGTATACATGGTTTTGTGGGTTTTGCAGACATTTCTGATCCTAACCCTGTGTTTATTAACATATTTGCTTGCTTAGTGTCTCTCTAGGTGAATAACAACACCTAGCAAAAAGTACAAACTTCAAGTCTGTTAGAGAAAAAGTGGCCATTTTCTTTAAGTGGCCATTTTGCTCCCAGATTTATGGATGACCTGTTGTGGAACTGTAACTCATTACTTTCGTAGTTACATAACTTCTCCAATTCCAAAAAACCACTCCTCAAAATTCTAAAAAACAGTCTGGAACAGAATTACCAAAAAGAATAGTCAAGATCAACCCACCCAGAGGCTTGTCCCTTGCAGCAGGCGGAATTCAAATTAACCATCCTACCACCACCTCTTACCCTGGTTATATTTGTGGTCACCTGGATGTATGTGTTCTTAAGGTTAAAACATTAAAAATGCACACTTCCGTTTCAGGGTTTGTTTTTTATTTCCATTTTTGTTACAGAAACATTGTATTATTATGTAGCTCAGGCTAGCCTGTGACTCCTGATCCTCCTAGCTCAGCCTCTAAAGTGCTGGGATACAGGAGTGTGTACATCCACCTCTTCTGTTTTTACTTCACACAACTTAGCAATCCATAAAAACACAAACCTTCAAGCAAGTTCTTCACAGTGATGAACATGTATTGCTTGTTCAACACAAGGAACACTCGTGATTTCTACGTTTATTTATTTACTTATTTGCTCTGTGTGTGTGTGTGTGTGTGTGTGTCACTGTGAGTGTGCAAGTGTACCATGAGGGTCCCGGGGATCAAAATCATCATTCGTGTTGTCTTGCTGACCCCAAGAAACATTTGTAAGTGCAAAAGGTACAGATAAATGGTAGAATATTTGCCTAGCACACCTAAGGCCCTCAGGTAAACCCTAGCCACCACCACCAAAAAAAAAAAAAAAAAGCAACAAACAAAGGCCTTCTTTAGGACCAGAGTAGCTAAGGAAGGCCTATTAAAGAACCACCCAAAGGCCAAATACGTTCCAGGTCACCTGGGAATTAACAACTGTCTTATCACAGGTCTCCCAAGCTTCCCCTAGGCATTTCAAGGAGGATAAATGTTGAGGATCTGGAATAATCACTTCAGAGGAACTAAAATTAGAAAGACCTTTGCTGTTAATCCTCTCTATTTCAGTGTTATTAATAAGAGAAAGCCTCAAAAACAATTCAGTACTTCCAAACCACATTGCCCATTCACATTCTAAGGCACATATTATCATGAAAATCTGAAAAATAGAAAACAGTACCTGAAATTGAACTCTTGGACACTGAATCAGAGATAAGTTGGTACCAATTTTCCTTACGATACTTCGAGATGAACCATATGGTTTTCCAGACCAAAGTACCTAAGGAAATAGGGAAAACCAAACGTTTACAAAATTCCTCAAACTGTTAATTCAATATATTGGCCTACTGAGTGCATGTTAACATATTAATCACAGTATCAGAATGTTCTAAATGTTCTAGGAAATAAGCTAGTATTTCCCAATTCAAAATTGAAAGGATAGATAGCTAGACAGACACTTGGTATTAACGTGATAAAACTTCAAAAAGATATTATATAGAAATACAGAATAGTATCTAGCAATTTTTTAGTTTTTTGTGTTTGTGCATGTGTGCGTGCTCAGATGTGTGTATACTGGCTTATACGTGGAGGTCTGAGAACAGCTGAGTCTCTTCTCTCTTGCTACTTTCCATGAGTTGTGGGGATCAGACTCAGGTTGTCACTCCTTGGCAGCAAGTGGAACCATCTCACCAGCCCTAATAATAATATCCTCTAGCAAACTTAAAATAATACTGTATTGGGAGTACAAACTATTTTCTTATGATTCTACAGAGAAAATGCTGCTGTAACTATTCTACCATATTTTCAATTTTAGAATTTTAAAAACATAAAACTTTGGAAATGTGAGCCACTTCTGCTATGGTGATTTTTCAAATTAAATCCAAAATCAGTATGAAGCTTGAGGAGTGATTTTGTGTCATGAATAGCATTTGCTACACAAAAGTGACAGACCAAACATTAGTGGGGATAAATCTAGTCGCACTGGCACCTTCTTGAAGGACCTCGTCTTTAATTCTTATAAAAATGCTATGTGAGTTAGGAGTTGCCAATAGTGAGGGCTATCCCTCTGGGAAGATAATATACAGTGTCCTAGACTATACTTAAAAACTCCATAAGCAAAATCCATGCATATAAATGTTAAGCCACTGCAAATTACACCTGTAACATTACCTTTCCTTACCCAGAAAATCTAGCCATGTTGGGTGCTACAACTAAAAGCCTAGACAGAGAGGTACAGGATGCAGCACAGTACTAAGAGTAATTTTCAAAGAAAAAGACCATACTTTACTCAAAGGTTCACATTCAATTATCTCTTAATACTAAATAAACACTAACCAGATAAAAGAATGGACACAGTTCCCTTTTTAAGGTCAGCCAAAATTCTAATTTAAAGGATGAAATTACGCTAATATATTAGTGTAATTATGGAAAATTTATGACCAGCAGTTGGTATCCATTTATGTGATGCCTATAACACTAAACCAAACTAGACCTCACACCATTCTCTAAGTACATACAGCATATTAAACAGTTACAGAAATAGCTTTAAATTCTCAAATTTAGCAATCAAATCCAATTTAGTATACTAATATGTATGAGTCAAAGTGAAGTTTGTGGGGTACATATGGTACCCCCCTCATGCATTTGCCTCAATGCTTTAAAAAGTTTTCTATCATATATGCTCCTGGTTTCACTAACTTTTACCTGGGAGAACTCCAGAAAATTGGCTATAACAGTCAACAAAACCCGGAATTCTTTCTCTATAAATGTAAATAAAAAGTGATAGCACAATTTGGAAATTTGGGTCAGCACATAATTAAAATACGAACTAAGTTACTCAAAGATTTAAGAGGCAAAGCTACCCAAGCTTCCAGCAAAGTATCAATGGCTCCATGGATTACAGAGGGCCATTAGCAGTCTTCATTACTTGAGAACGAGGAAGAGCTTCTGACAGAGGAGACAGTTCTCACAGTTCTTCAGAAGTAAAGAATCACCAGCCAAGAAACAATAGAGTCATTATGAAATAGTCACTAAGCTAACTTTTTACCTTGTACATTTTAATAGGTCTTGATCTCTTAAAACAAAACCCGTAGGGCAGTAGTGACCACACCACTCACTCATTTCTTTTCCAATCTTCCATTTAGTCACAAGCCAAAACTCTATGATGCAGGAAAAATGGAATGCTATTTGTGCATCATAATGTAACGATTACCTAGTCGGAAGTGAACCTCCACCTCTCTAGGAAACAAGTTCCTGCCCAGAGAGACAAAAGTTCACAAAGAAAAACTCAGAGGGCCTGCCCAGGTCAGGAGCCAGAGCATCTGCCAGCTTCCCGAGACCCTCACTAGCATCTTCCCATCTGTTTAATACCAGGGGCAAAGAATGCCAGGTGCTTTCAGGAAGAGAGGTGGCCAGTGAGCCAGCTTTTCACTATGAGGAGTAAGTAAACTGTTCAGGTTTTTGCCTACAAAGTTAGAACAGATTGCTTTGTGTCATTATTTTTTTAAGCACACACAAGAGACTAACATAATGTTGCTCTTCTGATCCTTGTGAATTACCCAGTACTTCATATGAAAACAGAATGAAGCAAAGGTCTATGTAACAATGACTGGAATACTTAGAAGGAAGAGTCACAGCCTCCATTAGATGGTGAGAAATGGGAGGAAACGCCAGGTCCTTATACTTGGGTTTTTTGTTGTTTTTTTTTTCTTTTTCTTTTAATACAGCCCTCGCAGTGGGGAAGAAATTGTAAGTGGCTGGGAAGAAACAGTGAGCAGATGGCACTGAAAAGTCACCATCTGTGCACTGGGGGGCTGCATGACCCAAGTGCATCTCCTACCCTAACTTGGGGCTGAACTGTGCTTGTCAGAATCCTGGTTTGGAGAAGGGCAGACTCTCTCTAGAGACAAACTGTCATCATTATTTTTTCAGATGTAAGAGAAAGCACGGAGAAAACTGTCATTCCTAGAACATTTGATCTAATTAATAAGACAATCCACTTCTAAGAAGAAACTATATATTGCTTTATCTATGAAAATTGCTTAAAAATAATCTACTACGCCTGTGGATGTGTGCATGCCTGTGTCTTGCAGTGACAGTCCATAACATTTAGCAACAGCGTTTCAAAGTGATGACAGCAAGGAGACAAAGGGAAAGCAATTTGTTCTTTTTCAATTGTGAAATGCTACTGTAGAAGTGTTGATGTTCCAAGCTAGAATCTGAGGCTGGCATCTGTCCCTGCTCAATATAGGAATCCATTAGAAACTAATATACATTATTAACTGAAAGAAAATATTTAGTCAAACAATAAGCTTCTTTCTAGTATTTTCTTCAAACTATACGATATAGTTTGAGTCTCTTATCCCTGAAATTATTTGTAAATTAACATGTACATGTAACATTTTGGGGGGAATCCACACCACTAATCACAATGTTTAAAGAGATCCAATAAATATATATTCCTAATTCCAAAGGAGCCAAAGAAAATAAAAAAGGGTGCTGGCATGCGACAGCCCAGATACAAATGCCTGTACACATACACCCCACACATATGTGTGAGAGTAGAATCCCCAACTAGAGAGTAGGCTTCTCTCAGTTTTCCCAACCTTACCCTTTACTCATTTATACTCTTCCTCCACAGAACAAAATGAAACAAAGGGATAATTAATGTGTATTAATAGACTGCTAATACAAATTACATATTGCCTTTAACTTTTCAAACAGAAATTGCTGGGACCAGTTCCGGTCATATTTGAATGCGGGCCTGGTGTAATACATCACTCTGGAGACTGAGACAGAGAGATCTTGAGTTCACGTCCAGCATGGCCTACACAGTTAAGACCATCTCAAAAAAGTCTAAATAGAAACACAAATTTTGAAATTTCTACTTAAGGATGAACATATAGGACTGAGAAAAAATTCAAACCTTATGAATATGTTTTAAGCAAAAACAAATGTTGGAGTATGGCTAGTGAGATGGCTCATCAGGCAAAAAAGGCAGTAGCTAAGCCTGACCTAAGTTCAATACCCAGAACCCACAGTGTGGAAGGAAGGAGAAAACTCACTCCTCTAGCTGAAATTCTAAACTTTTCTTTACATTTATGTGTGTGTGTGTGTGTGTGTGTGTGTGTGTGTGTGTGTGTGTGTGTGTGTGTGTGTTCATGTATTCAAGCATGGTGGAGACTGGCAGGAGTCCTTGCAAGGACCCTTGCAAGACTTTCACCCACTCTGTGGGTTCCAAGGATGATAGAACTCCTGCTGAGCCATCTTGCTGGCTGGAGTTTGCCTTTTCTTTCCTTTCCTTTCTCCAATTAGGGTTGCCCTCTAATTTAAATACACATGCTGTGGTACACACACACACACACACACACACACACACACACACACACACACACACACACACCTATGTTAAAAAAAATGTTGAGGGGCTGGAGAGATGGCTCAGTAGTTAACAAGATTAACTCTTCTTCCAAGAGACCTGAGTTTAATTCCCAGCACTCACATGGAGACTCACAAACAGTGGTCTCTTAACTCCAGTTCCGGGGGATCTGATACCCTCTTCTGATATCTACAGTAAAACAGAGCAAAATCAGGCCTGGTGACATGACCTGTAATCCCAATGACCCAGGAGGCTAAGGGGGCATAACTGCAAGTTCAAGGCCAGCCTAAGTGGCTTTGTGAGACAATCTAACATTGCTTTTTAGGGATGAGGAATTGCTGGTGCAAAGACTCAACAGTTAAAGGGGCTTGCCCAAGACTGGCAACTTGAGTTTGATCCCTGAAGCCCACAACGTTGACCTCCAACATGTGCCACAGTATTCACCCACATCCACACATCATACAAGGATCTGGGAGATGGAGAAGGAGTTCAGTGGTAGAGCACATGCCTAGCATGTACCAGGCCCTAGGTCCAATGTCCAGTACAGCAAATAAACACACACACACACACACACACACACACACACACACACACACACACACACAAAATGCTCATCTCTAGAGAGACACAGACTCCAGCAGCAAGATGGCTCAGCAGGTAAAGACACTGGTTGTCAAGCCTGATGGCCCGAGTTCTATCCTTGAAACTCACATAATGGAAGAACCAACTCCTGAAGTTTCTCCAATGCTTGTACACATGCACAATGAATGAAAAAAAAAAAGTTTTAAATGTTTAAAAAGTGAGGATGTAAATAAAACAGGTAAAGGATGAAGACAGTTTGGGCTTCCAGGACACTGTCCAGCATTAAATCAAATTCATTTTCATGCCAAGTCCTTGAGAAAATACACAATGCATGCTAACCACCTGATCCCAGTTTCATTCTGTCCTTTCTTTATTCCTGACGCCCTATCCAGACAGACTGCCATCTAATCCATCGTTAACTATACTGGCAAGTATTCTTATTCAGAGATGAAAATCTGAGGCCAGCTTGGCCTACACATCAACTTCCAGGAGAGTTTAAAAAAAATCTATGGCATAGAATTATAAAATAGGCTAAATTTTCTCTCTCGCTATTGTTACATTTTAGAAAATCATGCTTTATCATTTACTTATAATATTTAATATTAATTAAAAAACAAAGTTACAAATTGCAAGCCAAACAATCAGTGCTTCTCTATAGATTTAATCTTTTTCTTCATTAGTGAATGCATTGTTTTTAAGGTCATGTAACTACAATAATAAGTTTTGAGCATAACCTAGGAAGTTACTGCCTCACTGTGCCAGGAACAGACCCACTTCTGTGATTTAAATAGCCATAAATCACAGAACACAAACAATAACTGTAAATGTTGTTAATGTTCATATCATTTTCCTCAGGAAAGCCTCAGAACATCGAAATGTCTGGATTTTTAGGCTGGACTGTGAGCACTCACCGACTGCATGCTGATCCCAACTCGCTGAATCACCATCCTCATCAGGCACTTAATCCAGCCCAGCATTTAGGTGTCCACGTCTTCCCAACCTGCAGTTCAAGTGCTTCAGGCATCCATAGCAGCACATGGTCCATAGAGCACACTGGAATTTTCAATGCAAATGCTGTGTACTAACATGAGGTCATTCTTATTTAGAACTTCTACTATTTATATGTCTCATACAGTCAGCTTAAAATACAACACATCAAAACTTGGTGTGCAAATTAAGAGAAAAAAAATTACACATTCTCAGCTTGCTTACATGTTAGCACACACCTTTAATCCCAGCACTCAGGAGGCAGAGGCAGGCAAACTCTGTGAATCTGAGACCAGTCTGGTCTACACGGTTTCAGAGTAGTCAGAGCTACCTAGAGACCCTGTCTCCAAACAAAACAACACAACAATAAACAAACAAGTAATAATAATAATAATAAAGTAGGCTGAGATGACAGAGCATATGTAATGGTAAAATCATGCTGCATGTCCAACTCTAACCAGAACATGTGTGTCTTCATTACTTTATACGATGTCCATGACTAGACCTTTGGTCAGACACATTGTAGATCACCTTGATCTATACAGGTTATATGACTAAATCATCTCTGAGTCAACAGGAACTTAAAAAGCAAAGACTCAAAACTGTCAAAACAGAAATGGCTGGAAAATTTTTTTAATAAAGCAGCTAGATGTGGCGAGCCTCACATGTAATCTCAGGACTTTGGAGATAGAAGCAGGAAGATCGGGTATTCAAAGCCACCCTAAATTACAAGAAATCATGTAATTAAAACACAAAACAAGCTTGGCAGTGGTGGCACATGTCTTTAATCCTAGCACTTGGGAGGCAGAAGCAGAGGCATCTCTAAGTTCGAGGCCAGCATGGTCTACAAAGTGAGTTCCAGGGCAGCCAGGGCTACTCCTTAGAGAAACCCTGTCTCGAAAAAACAAAAATAAAAACAAAAACAAACAAACAAACAAAACCCAAAAAACAAAGCACACACTAAACATTTCATGGGTGTGGTAGCACTCAGGAGGCTGGGGCTGAAGGATGGACACCAGTATACATGGCCTATATACAGTAATATCCTGTCCACAAATAAAATAACAGCACCCTATCACTTTTTTTTGAGAGATTAACTTAATATAGATGTGTACAGATCCAAATGTGGTGGTATACTCCCAAAATTCCAGCACTCCTGAGGCACAAGAAATGAGAGCTTCCAGCCAGTGTAGGCCAGACAGCAAGACCCTGTCTCAACATACACAAACACAAATTTTAATTTCTTGTTTTTGGTTTTTTGGTGGGTTTTTTGTTTGTCTGTTTGTTTGTGAAGACAGGGTTTCTCTGGGTAGCCCTGGCTGTCCAGAACTCACTCTGTAGACCGGGCTGGTCTTGAACTCAGGGACCCACCTGCTTCTGACTAAAGGTGTGCACACCATGCCCAGCTAACTTATTATCCTTTTAAGCACACTGATCCTTTAAAGTCCTTCAGATTTGTCTCGGCTGGAATCCTACAGTATGCAGCTTCTCAGTCCATCTTCTTTTACCCAGTATGATACACTTAAGGTTTCTCCACATCTTCTCAGGTTTGAGAGAGAATTTCTTTTGTAGTGAGTATTTCCTTGTCTGAAAGTACCATCGTTTATTATTCAGTCATCTACTAAAGAGATCAATTGCTTCCAAGCATTAATAATTATTAATAGAAAACTACATCTATGTACATCTTTTTGTGTTGAGTGGAGAAATGCATGAGCACCTACCAGCTTGTGGGTATCACAGGACATTCTCGGGTGCCATTCCCCTGATGCTGTCTTTTTTAACCCCCTTTTCTTTCAACACAAGGTCACTCCTTGGCCTGAAAGTATACTGGCTGGCTAGCGAGCCCCAGGGATTTGCCTATCTCCTCTTCCCAGTGCTGGGATTACAAGCATTCATTACCCTACTCAGTTTTTTTCAGTTGGGTTCTGGGAATTAAATGCAGGTCCCTGTCTTTACTGAGCTACCTCCCCAACCCTGGGTTGTTTTTTGTTTTGTTTTGTTTTTTGCTTGCATTATTCTTTTTTCAGATGGGTCTAATGTAATTCAAACCAGGTTTGACTCACTGCATAAACTAGAATGAACGACCTTGTATTTCTGATCCTCCTGCCTCCACTTTCTGAGTTCTCTGTAAGTATGTACTGCCATACATAGCCAGATTTCTTTATTTTTAATACTGTATTGGTCAGGGTTCTCAAGAAAATCAGAACCCATAGGATGTACACAGATTATAGTCTTATGACACACTGACTCACTAACTATAGAGACTGAAAATGTCATGCCAAATTGAAAATGGGAGGGATAAGTGACCTAATGACCTCCACTGTGCTCAATGGAATATTCCCCAACTCCACATAGTCAACTAATCACCCAACATTGAGTTTTCCTAGCCCATGTTCATTCTTTAATGGGATTTTGGCTAGCCACTGGAATACTGCTCCTTCTACAGACTTCTCAAAAGGTTTCTCTTCACTATTCCCTTAAACTTGTCAATGTTGCTTCCCAGCAATTTCCCCCCTTTGTTAAAAAACCTCAAACATAGGATGCAGCAAAGGAATGAGCTCTCAGCTTTTAAGATTTTTTATTTTTATGCTCTGTATCCAAGTATGCCTGTACGCCACATGTATGTGAGTGCCCGAGAAAGGCCAGAGACGGCATCAAATTTCCTGGAGCAGGATCTCAGAGGTTTTCAGAAGGGGGTCAGGAAGCTGAACTCAGTCCTCTAGAAAAGCACAAGTGCTCTTACCCGCTGAGCCAGCTCTCCAACTCTGACTCTGAACTCCTGACTCTCTTTCCCTATCTCCCAAAGTGCTGCTTCTTTACCACCAACCATCCCACATCATGTCTGTGACACTCAATTCATTCCTGTCATTCAGCTGGGACTTTCTCTGAGTCTTTAAGGCCTTCCCTGAAAGTAATTCTGCACACTTGACTAGTCTAGTGACTGGTCCCATCAGTGTCCCACAGATGATGCCCATTGTCAGAAAGACATAAGAAGATAAGACTAAAACACATGACACTTGTCATCCCTGCACCCGGAGGAGGTGGCAGAAACCAGCTCATGGTCCCCCTTGGCAGCATAGTAGTCTGAGGCCGGCCTGGACAACAGGAGACCCTGCCTTAAAAGAAGGGCAAACGAGGAGGAGGAAGGAGGTTGTGGCTGGTAAGAGGTCCCAGCAGAGCTCGGGGCTCCTGGCACTGTTCTATTTCTTGGCACACATACTCATGTATAGACTTCTAAATAACTCACCAAGAAGTCTACAAACTTTTTAGGAGTGTAGTTATTCTTCAACTCACAAGTTTTACAAATACAGCCTCTGTTTGGGTTTTGGTTTGAGACAGGGTCTGTTGGGGAGGTTGGTCTGCCCTCAGTAGTCAGTAAAGGACTCACCCAGACACCAAGTTCTCAGTACAAAGGAGATTTATTACCCTGGATGGGCAGGGGCAGGGGGTGCCTCTGAATCAGGCAAAGCAAACAGCAAGCAGCAGCAGTAGTAAGTGGCTGTTTTTTTTTTTTTTTTTTTTTTTTTTTTTTTTTTTTTTTTTTTTTGCAGAGGAGTGGGTTTTTAAGGAGAAAAAGGGAGAGAGAGTCTGAGCAAGAGTAGTTGGTTAACCCTGATTGGACAAGTTAGCCAAATAATGAATTTTGATTGTTGGACCTTGGTGTTTTGGATCAGGAATGAGTCAGTGGCCGAATAAGGGAATGGACCTTGGGCACTAGCTTTAGGAATGTAACCTAATGGTTTTCAGCAAGGGAGGGGGAAGGGCAAAGCCTGCAGGTGCCCTGTTTGCCATGCTTGAGCCTGCGAGACCCTTCAGTCTCTCTACATAGCCCTGCTGGCCGGAACTCACTCTGTAGACCAGGCTGGCCTCCCAACTCATAGGGATCCACCTGCCTCAGCCTCTCAAGTGCTGGAATTAAAAGTGTGCACCACCACAGCCAGCTAAAATACAGCCTCTGAACAAGTTACACAGCAATGGAAATTTTTTGCTGTATTAAAACATACTCTGTAGTGGTTTTAAAGGTTATCAATAGAAAAATCATAGAATATTATAAAATTCTATGCATATGTAGTTTATATACTGACTTGAAGGTCCAGTCACATCATTAGGAACAATGCTCTCTAAACAGTATGATTTCATTTTTATAAAAATCCTCCACTTTTTATTTTTCTTATGTACAGAAAGACATTTATCAAACTATTAAAGCTGACCAGAGTAGACAGAAGCAGTCTTCGTCCTTACGTAGTCATTACTATGTAGGCAATGTTTGAAAATGTTTAGTGTCTCACTTAAAACCAAAATTTAGGCGGAGACAGATGGAGCTCTGTGTGAGGCCAGCCTGGTCTATACAGTGAGTTCCAGGCCAGCCAAGACTACATAACAAGACGCCGGCTCTAAATAAATAAATTCGTACATACACATATACATACATACATACAACAAAAGCACACCAAAATTTAGGTATGGCGGTGAACTCCTGTAATGCCTGTGCCTGGGAGATGGAACTCAGGGCTATCTTCAGCTGTACCAAATCTAGGGCTGAGGATTGTAGCATGCACAAACTCCAGGGTCAGACCTTAGCATCATCAAAAAGAAATCCTACTTGGCCCTAAGTCTTTTTCACCTTTTCACAGTACTGAATGGCTTCAGCACACAAGGAGAGCTGTACAATGGAGCTGCATCCCTGGCCTGTGGAGCAATGTTCTCCTAGCCAGTCTTCACCCTCACTCTTGTACCCACCACATCCAAGATCACTTGACTCACAGATTTACCATTACTTTCAGCTATTTTTTCTCCGAAACTTTAGAATTTCATAAATCTTCCTTCTAGCAATGAGGTTGTACAAAATGTACTAAGCTTTTTTACACATCTTTACCTCTCTAACTACGCCCTCCTACACTTGGCAGACCAGCTCTTTCAAACTTATCCATACAGTTTGACTATGCCCTCCAGGTTTTTTTTTCCCTCCAATTTTTCTGTTTTTGTTTCGATTGGTTCGGGCTACAAGGTAGCCAGCCCAGGTTGGCCTTATACTCACCACGTAGGCAAAGATGGCTTGGTCCTTC